GTGAATGGACGAAATCCATATTCTTGAAAGAAAACAAAGATTTAAACATAGAAAAAACCTTTGAGTTGAAACCCCCTATGTTAAAAACCTTGAAACCCCGTTAGGCACATTAGAATTTGGTCACAAAAGTTTATATTTCTTACAGAAATTGAGATTGTTTAAGGAGAAAAAAGTTTGCATGGATTGTTTTTGTATCAATCTTTATCTATCATCCTTAAAATGAGCTTTAAACGTCCGTTTTTGAAAATAAAAGAGCAAAGAATATCAGCGACACCACAACTTTTTCCAGTCGACTGAACTGTCCAGAAGTGTTAGCATAATCAGTAACGCTTTCAAACAGCCCATTGCACTAAATTGGTAGGTAATACATTCTTACAACCCTTGTGCAAGTCATTTGGCTCCAAAGAATTCATTAGCAAAGAAAGTTACAAATATATTTTCCAAATGCAAAAAATCACCGCTTCGGAGTTGCAACCACATGTTACTTAACCGAAACCCCGCATGTGCCCCTTTACACGGTGATGGTTTTATTTTTTCTTTCAATGAAATGTAGTAATTTATGTTTGTAATAGCAATTTTAAAGAGAACAATCAATTTTGCAGAATTTCACAATCAACTTGAATTTTTGGTCTTAGTAAAACGGGCTCCTTGTGCCATCTTTGGATTTTTTTTGTCCGTATTTTGTGCCTGTTCGCGGATTTGTAATTGTAGACTTTCTTGGATATATTAAAATGCTTTATTGAAATCCACGGCAAAAGACTTCTTCTGTTCATGCATAAGTTTCTGAATAAATTCTGCTTCATATGCATACAAAACTTTCTCAGCTTATATTGAGACGCAGTTGATAACCATGGAAATCCCACTGATTGAAGACTCTTTCTTCAAAACAACATAGATACTGTCAATCAGAAACCACAGCATCGTATTGATATCAACTTTGCAGCACGTGTTCGTACAGTCAGAATATTTTTCAACAAGACATTCTAAGAGATGATCAATGAAAAATAAGGTTTTTCTTATTATTCAAAAAGCAGTTTCTACTATGTCAAAATTACTGGATATTACTCTATCTGGAAAAAGTTTTTTTTTTTTTTTTTTCAAAACTTGCTTTTTGATTTTCATGTTATTGAAAGTGTTTGTAGCTTCAAATTTTCAAAAAAGTTCGATGAAGTTTTTAAGTATTCACATTTGATGAGTCTAAGCCCCACGTCCCTGTCGTAGGTGGAAACGGGTTAAGCCGGCTAACGGGGCTACGCCTGGAGTACTGGGCAATCCACCCCTCCTGTGGCAAACACTGACTACAGAAACAGACGCACGGAGAAAGGTATCACCTGGTTCTTCAGTGGGTAACATCGGAAACGAGAGCATGACGTCCAGTCAGGAAAATCAGCAGAGAACTACTAGACTGAGAAGCTACCCTCTCAGACCAAACAAGAACATCGTCATAGCAGAATCGAATGTGTGGACTAGGTTTGAAAGGAGCAGAACAGCACAGATTGTTTAAGAGATGAGGCATTATTACAGCAGCATTCTGGGTATAAGTGAAGCTCGTTGAACAGGCTCGGGGAAAATGAGTTAGAATGTATTAGTGGAAGGACCATCACATACTCAGGCAAGGATCAAGATATCACCAGAGTGGCGGTGCAATAATGATGCGCAAGAAAACACCAAAGACATTGCTAACGTGATACCCAGTGAACGACCGAATATTGTATGCTAGGTTCGATTCAAAACACATCAAGATCAGTGTGATCCAGTGCTACTCACCAACTTATGATGCAAATGATGACGAAAATGATACTTTTTACAACCAACTGCAGAGTATATTACATCAAACTCCAAACAAGATATGATGATAGTTATGGGAGAAATGAACGCAAAAGTTGGAAGTGATAACAGCGACAAAGAAGCATCAATGAAAATGGAGAACGCATAATGGATTTTTGTAAGATGAATATGCTAGTGGTTTGTAAAACCATCTTTGCACAGAAGGACATTCACAAGTATACCAAATTTTTTCCAGATATTAGAGCAAAGAATCAGATCGATTACATCATGATCAACAAGAGATGGAGGAGATCAGTCATAAATTCCTGAACGTAAAGAGGTGCAGACATTAAAGAGGCTGGGTGGCCGTGGCCATTTTTAGACTATTTTGATCTCCTTTAGAATAAGAGCTCCATAAAAAGATACAATAAAATGATCAAATTTTAAAACTAAAATTTATGAAATTTTTCTTTGCTAAATGTTAGTTGACAGCTTAAGATGTAATATCTAAAAAAAAATAAGTTATATCTGGTGGTTAAAGAAATAATCTGTTGACCCCCTAGCCTCCTTAACAGTGATCACATACTCCTACGTGCCAAAATACAACTTAAGTTAAGAACAGTGAGGAAAGTGCAAGGACGGGGGAAGTTTGCAGTGAACAAACTTAAACAACCTGAGATAAAGGAAGACTTTAAGCTGGAGCTGAGGAATAGATTTTCTGCATTAGAGATAATGAACGATGGAAACAACATTTACGAAAAGTGTCTAGCTTCAGCAGCAACTGAGACACTGGGATTTAGGAAAAGTGTAAAAGAGAGTGGCTAACACCTAATACATAGACTCATCAGAGAGAAAGAAGATCAAATCAAAGATTCTAAACTGCAAAGACAACTCAGAGCAGGAATTCCTATCAAAATCGTACAAGGAAAAGGATAAAGAGGTCAAAAGCAGTGGGAGGAGATACAAACGAAAGCGTATAGAAGACAATCTGAGTAGTGCTGAAGAAGCAGCAAGGACTGGAAATATTCAAGAACTCTATAAAATCACCAAACTGATATCTTACAATTTACCAACAGTTCAAAAGTTGTGAAAGACCAGTATGACATCCTTTCCAAGGACAAAGACGTCTTGGAAAGATGGGCAGAACATTTTAGATCACCCACCTATATCAAAATCAATAACAACAAAGCACAACTTGACATCAGTGTGGAGAAAAATGTCTATTCTTCTTAGTGGTCATAGACTGGGCCATGAGGGAATCCACCAGAGATAAGGATAATGGCATCAGAATAGAAAACAAACTGGATGACCTGGATTGTGCTGACGACCTATGTCTCATCTCATCCAACTATCGTCAAATCCAGGAGAAAACAACCAAACACCATACAACATCTAGACATTTAGGCTTAAACATTAACTTAATCAAAACAAAAATATTGATAATAAATTCACGGAATAACAACTCCGTACAAGTAAATGGAGAGCATTTCAAAGATACAGACATCTTCACATATCTGGGCAGCATTGTAACAACATCAGGAGGTACTGACGGGAACATAACATCAAGAATCAACAAAGCACGTCATGTGTTTGCCATCTTAAAAAAACCAGCTTGGACCTCATCCTATATGACCATTAGGACAACGCTCAGGATCTTCAGTAGTTATGTAAAATCAGTATATTATTATATGGATCAGAATGCTGGAAGCTCAGAAAAGACCTTGCAAGGAAACTGAGAGTGTTTGTGAATCGACGCCTCGAACCATATTTAGGACCAGACATTGTGGTAGAAATTGTAAGAAGGAAATGGAGATGGATCAGTCATGTGATCAGAAAAGACCAGCACAACATCACCAGGGAGAGCATATTTTGGATGGCTGGTGGCAAGAGAAAAAGAGACAGGCCAAAAACAACATGGCGAAGAACATCGGAGAGAAAGCTGAAAGAGATTAGGCGAATATGGAAGGAAATAGAAACAAAACCAAAGGAAAGGATCGGGTGGAGGGACTGTGTGGCTCTTTCATGTGCCACCTGGCATGAAGAGGCCTAAGTAAGTACATTTAATGAACATCACTTCTCGGACACACTAGTATTGCTGCACAGTGCTCCTCAAATTTCATTCTAAGTACTGTTGATATTTTGATTTTTTTTTTAAATCCTTCATTTGAAAGTAACTTTGATTATTTGTTGGATTATCAACAATAAAAATAAATCAAAAGTTCTTTTAAAATATGAATAAATTCACGAGTCTTACAAAGACAACATTGTCACTTGTTATATGGGAACAATGCGTATATTAAACATGTGATCTATTTCACTTCTGAATTATTGGAAACGGGAGGATAGATTGATTTCATATTGTCCCTAAGCCGTATAATGCGAGATTTCAACATCCAACTGATACCTACAGATACTAGTACTTTTAATCCATAGTGACGAAATGTCTTTTTTGGTAATGATGTTCCATCTAGGCTACAGTTTAAGGGTGAGGAAAAGTACAAGTAGAGCTTTTCAAAAAAGCTTACCGTCTTTAGCAACAATTTTAAACAGTAAACAGATCTATACTTAACAGGCCGTATAATTCTTTTGAATTTCTTGATGTTGTATTAGCTTTTTACGGGCATTAGCCCTACCACGGTTGTCGCTCGGTCATCTCCGTAAACTTTGACTGGCCGAGAGCTTTCGGCAAATCTCGGCTGATTCCCATTCACTCTTCAAACAAGAAAGGGGAAAAGAATAATAACAAATTGTAAAGCCTGCAAGCAATAACTATCAAATTTTATTTATAATGAAAATAAAGAGACCTTTTTATTTAAAAAATATCATGTTATTAAGAAATAATTACTGCTGATTTTGTTGTTCGTTTTGTCATTTTTTTAAGATTGGAAATCTTGCAAAATTGTTAATTTTAACGAAAATTAGACCATCAGAAAGTTATCTCCCTTGCCCTGAACAGCATTTCAACCAATGAAATAATTGAAAATTTTCTCATCATGCAATTTCTACCAATCACAAAAGAGAGGAAGTGCATAGTCCGAAGACTGTAAAAAACTTCAACTATACAATACCGTCTTCCAAGGAAGACGGTAATAAAGATATTGGAGAATCATGTTTCAGATTATCTAAATACTGCATTGTAGAGGTTTTTTTTAAAAAAGAATATGGAATGAATATCGTAAAGTATACACGGACAAGATACATTCTTAACCTAATTGTGAAGTTAGTACTTGTACCTGTTAAATATACGGATAATTTCCAATGTCCTCCGCAGCTCTCCCTTTTGTTTCCATAACAAGGCAGTTTACATTCCTCCTCTGGGGACTGGCCATGATTTCGAAAATTGTCCCACGTCGTGTTACCACAGAAACACTGTCCAAAATACTACAAGAAAAGAGGACGACCATCAATGAGTTTCCAGTAATAATGTCTTACGTACAACTAAAGCAAAAATATTGCATCGCATATTTTGATATAAAAGAGCATACGTAATTGTTGAAAATTGTTCATTATTAACAGAAGTAACAGATCATCTTAGTTTTCTTTACTACCTGTGTTCCTGCAAACTTGAAGTATTGTTGTCTGCATTTTTGTATGCACAATTTATTGGTCATTACTTTACTGTAGTGAAAATCTCCATCAAAGAGCCTAGTGGGTCCGTCATTGAGGCACCCGATGTAGGCTGAAAATAAAAATAAAGATTCATATTCCCCTCCGATCATCAGTGTTGAGAGAGAGATAAAAATGCTGATTCATCGATTTAATATGAATGGTGATTATGATTTGAAATGTAAAACGTAGTTACTAACATGATTTTTTTTTATTTTATGCGCCCGAATCGTTAGATCCGAGGCGTATATTGTTTTTGTCCTGTCTGTTTGTCTGTTTATCTGTTTGTCTGTCTGCTGAAAACTTTAACCTTCGCCATAACTTTTGAACCTTGAGATATAGAGACTTCATATTTGGCATGCATACTCCACTAATAAAGTTCTTTTAAAAGACACCAAGGTCAATGACCTTGTGACCTTGACTGTGACCTACATGCTAAAAATAGCTTTTTCAAACTTTTGCCATAACTTTTGAAGCATAGGAGATAGAGACTTCATATTTGGTATGCATACTTCACTAATAAAGCTCATACAAATGACACCAAAGTCATTGATCTTGTGACCTTGACTGTGACCTTAATGCTAAAAATAGCTATTTTCGAACTTTTGCCAGAAATTTTGAACCATAGGAGATATAGACTTCATATTTGGTATGCATACTCCACTACTAAAGTTCTTTCAAATAACATTAATATCATTGACCTTGTGACCTTGACTGTGAGCTATATGCTAAAAATATTTTTTTGTAACTTTGTTGCCGCCGGGCGCATAGCGTTTCACAAACACATCTTTTCATTTTTAAATCTTTATTACAAGTTTGTTGTTATTGTAATAGAGTACTGGTATTTTATAAGTGTTATATCTATTTACCTTCATTGTACACAATCCCCTCCAGGAAATCACTTTCTGCCTTCGTCTCTAGATGGGCCAGAGTCCCTCCCAACTCGGCACACACATACTGACCAAAAATATCCATTGATGATTTTTTCAATGTTTAAAATAAATTAATTGACAACTTTTTAAAAATTAAATAAGTTTGAATAATCCACTTTTCCTTTTCGTGCGTTACTCGGGGGGTGGGGGTTAGAACTTATTTCTAACTCATTTGATGGTCAATAAAATATGTTCAAAACATTAAGCCTTATGAGCATGAAGAAGAAATACTAGTAAATCAGAATTCTTACCGATGAAGATGCCCAGGAAGCTTGATTGTTGCTGAAGAAGTAGCACTTGTCGCCAAATCTCACCCAACTTCTCGGGCAGCTAAAATAAACTAGCAAAAAATATGCGGGTTTAATGAACTAAAGTTGGTTACTTTCAACAGATCAAAGAGTCAACAATTAAGTTTCATGCTAGAATTAATAATAAGTAACAATAATATCAACAAACCTGTAATAACTCCAGGTATAACGCTGTATAAGGCCAGTAGCGCCCACAATACCCTTCCATTAGAAGTCAGAAGACAGTGGATCATCGTGTTCTGACCATGTTCTGTGTTTTCTGTGGTTTTTGTACAGGTGTTACTACTTACATTGGAATTCCAAACCAAGGTCTACACAATGTCGTGTAATTATCAACATTCTGACCATTCATAGGGTTTAGATGCATGTTCGGTTATCTGTGGTTTTATAGATGACAGTTTTATTGATGGTAAATATTTGACATAAATGTAACAAAATCATGCACCAATAGACGAACATAAAGCATTGCTTTGCGTCGCAAGGGCGGATCAAGAATATTCCTGGGGTTGGAATGATGGGGCAACTTTCACTTTATGAAAAAATAAAGCATTGCTTTGCGTCGCAAGGGCGGATCAAGAATATTCCTGGGGTTGGAATGATGGGGCCACATTCACTTTATGAAAAATAATTAAAAAGGAAATAAAACTTTGATCCTTATTACAAACAAAATACGTGCGTGCGGGGGCACCTCTCATTGAAAAGCTGCTTGTTTCTTTTACACTACATATATATTTGAGGCTCGCTCAAATTCAGCTTCAAATAATTCTAACAACGAAAGAACCGTAGCATTTTCTGGAAAAACATGAAATGCGCTTAGATTTTTTTAGGTCGTTGTAAAGAGGAGCGACATTGGGGAACGCTGCCGTTTGGTGTATTTGTCTGAGCATCTTGTCTTCTGAACCGTGGAAAGTCTCTTTCGAAGTCAAAGGTGTCTGTTCTACTCCTCTCAACATTTTATGCGAAGTGGGGATGCATAATGATGGATATTTATTAATTACATGTCAAAACCCTGAACTTGACATGTACACAAGTACACTTTATGTACTTTTGTAAAGTAGAAGTACTTTAAAAATATGTATTTACCCTACAAACGGTGATAAATAACCCTGGTTGTCTTTGCTTGAAAATCATATTCCCCTTGATTTAGTTAGTCATTTGTTATTGAATGCTTTTCTATTTGAAAAAAAAAAATATGCACGTAATATTTCAATTTGTAGGGGGTTAAAAACCTAATTTGTTATAGAATCTGTATCATTGAGTATAAAAATCGGTGGAAATGTGGCCATGTTACGTATTTTGCAAGTTATAAATATTTTTAGAAATGACAATATAGCTATTGAACATCCCTGCACAATGAAGTACATTAATAGGATTCTTATTACTTTTTTTATTAGGCTCGGGATCGAGAAACACCAAGTCAGCTGACAAAATAAAAAAAAAAAAAAATAACAACACGGTCCGACTGGAAGACAGGTATACTACCCAATCAGCTCCAAGTGTAAAGTACCTGCAATTTTTTATACCCCATAATGAAAAACAGAGATTCGGGGACATATAATTTCTGTCTATCCGCCTGTCTGCAAAACCTGTAACCTTGGTCAGAGTTTTGAACTGTTTCACTTTGTGTTAGGATTAGTAGAACTTTTACATGTTCACATGTTTTAATCAGTAATTATATCCATATTTTACAAACATGGAAGGACAGGTGAAAGATCTGCCAGGGAAGAGCCAGTCAGTCTGGTGTCTTTGAGATTCAAGCGGTCCAAGTTTAAATCTCGGTCTGATTCATCACGTAAAACTTGTCCTCCCCCCATTACTTAACTTCCCCCTTTCTCTATCAATCTTTCTCTCGATACTACTCGCCCTCAAATTAACGAGGCCCGATCTAGTTGAAAATTACGAAAACGGTATGATAAAAAAATTTAATATTTGGAAATATTTTTGTATGTATTATACTAAGAAAAATTAGAATGAAATTTTATTACCTTGCCTTCGTTGTAGTCAAATGGGGGCACTGTCAAGATATGGACCTTTTCTTGTGTTTTTATACACAATGACATAGTAAAACCCTCCAATAAACAAAGAAATTGAAAATAAAAAAAAATACATGATGAAAATTTTTGGTTTTCAAATATATCATGCAATTTTCATTCTTCTTATAAAAAATGAAAAGAAAATTGAAGGTAGCCTTTATTGCAGTGAAAAGTGGGCATATCAAAACACAAAATTAGCACTTATTTTATCCAACTAGACATGAAATAAGTCGCCATGGGTGTACATAACATCAACAAACGATTGCAATACTGTATTATTTTCTAAAAAATAAGTAATTCTTACATTTTGAAATAATTTTCTCTTCATGCTTTCTTTTTTTTCTTTATACGCGACGTTGTTATACATGAAAAGGGGGGGGGGGTAAAAGGCGAGAAATGAATTTTACTAATATCATGTAATATATAGAAACATAAAATATATCGGGGTTTGCATTTAAATGATTCATAGACTGATTTTTTTTTAAATCAAGCTAATTCATGCATATTTAAGTCCTCAATAAAAAAGGTGTGTATAAAGACTTCAACATGTTCACGGAGAAAGACTAAAATCGTTTACATTCGGTTGCAGTGTTTGTTTTTTTAACTCACAAATTGAAATAAAACAAGGTAAAATTAATGAATATGTACCAAGAAATTAATACCTCAAAATAAATCATGTTCCAAAGTTGTTTATCAATTAAAAAAAATATTTTAAAAAAAAAACATGTAAATAATAGAAATACCAGCTTTCAACATGTACAGTCTATAGAGTTACCAGGTATGCAGGATCAGCGAAACATTTTAGCGCGATTTGACGTCATTTTAATTGTGACGTTATTGTGTTCAATTGTGACGGCAGTCAAGGGTACTGTGACGTGCCTGAGTCGACGCTGCGTTAAAACGTATGCGCAGTTCAACTAGATCGGGCCTCGTTAAGTACTCGGAGTAGATTTTTTGAGCACACAAAGAGCTTAATATAAAGGAATTTACAGGGAAAATATGGTAATAATATTGTGGATGCAGTAATTGTTTATTATCAGGGATCCTGGTATTACACTGTATGTGATTTTCAACTTCAAGCTGTTGCCTTAGGAAAGACTGAATTTTATCTGGATCAATAGCTCTTTTTAATAAGACTAAAAATAACATGAGATAAAAAAAAATACACTGAATAGTCAGATTAGAATGAAGTTGATCCCTGCATGTCTTACTAGTATTATTGACAAATTTTTTGTAGAAAATGATGAAGAAATGCTTTAGACCATTGCTTCCGTTTCTGTTCAGTGTTGTTTTGTGTAATGTTACAACTGCAGCTACAACCAGACCACATATCATCCTCATAGTGGCTGATGATCTGGTGAGGATATTTTTATTTTATCATAATAACTTGAGAGAACAAGTTATGGCATTATAATTATACATGTTTTTCAGTTGTTTTACACAAATGAACCAGTGAAAAAGCAATATATTTTGGAATTCTAGCTGTCTGTTATAAATTGACTGTGTTTTCTCTTACTGTAGAGTTATAATGAAATGAGCATGTAATACATGTATCTCATCTGTAGGGATATAATCACATGAACATGTTATATATTATATTTTGCTATTTTAGGGTTATAATGATGTGAGTTTCCATGGATCAAACCAGATCCCCACTCCTAACATAGACAGTTTGGCATATGGAGGAATAATTCTCAATAATTACTATGTGTCCCCGATTTGTACCCCCACTCGCGGGGCTCTGATGTCTGGCAGGCACCCTATTCAAACAGGTATGTATCCGGTTCTATTACTGAAAACATATTTTTTTTGACAGGGTAATAATTCTGCAGAATCACAATTTCTATTCATTCAATGGCTGGACAATAATATAAAAATAACAAAAGGGTTAAGTCTATTGAAATAAACATTAAGTATATATATCAATGCACTAAATCAGGTAATTTAATTGAATGTAACTATTTTAAATGTAAAATTGAACAAAGCTTTAGAGGAAGACAGCAATAGATTCTGTTGTCATTCATTTAAGATCTAGGTCAAATCAAATTACTTATTTTTTCATGAATGCTTTTTAGGCAATTTAAAGGCTTTATTAATTATATTGCACCTAGATGCACATTCAGGTGGTACATGTAGAAGGATAAAGGACTGTTCATGAGAGAAATACCCATAAGTTTTGAGATCACTAATCCAAAGGTTCAAAATAAGTGATGTATACACACCACATAGACCTATCCGACTAAAAGCTTCTTTGTTTCTTTGAAAATAACTTTAAATTTAGATATATTAAAGACTGAAAGTCTGACCATTACCTTATTTTACAAAAATTTACCGGAAATGGATGTCAGAAAGTTGACAAGTGGAAACTTTGCCATTTTTAATAACTTGACGATATTCTGTCATAATTTCCATGTCAGCATATGTTGCACAATTACAGTATTTAGAGAATAGATTCAGATTGTAGTTCACTTTACCTGATTTAAAATTATTTTGAGATTGGGGGATGGAGTGTTAAATAAGGAATGTTTATTCTATCAGGTCTCCAGTCCGGTGTAATAGTCGCTTCTCAGCCTTATGGACTACCCCTAAACGAAACAATAATGCCTCAGTACCTCCAAAAACTGGGCTATAGGCGGCACATGATTGGCAAGGTCAGTCACTAGTACGTTTCTGTCCCAGTAAATCAGAGAAAAACAATCAAATAATGGTGGTGGGTTGGTGGTGGCAAGGGGGAAGAAATCCATTTCCTTTATTGTAGTTTAATATGCTCTTTTTCTGTATCATTTTGCCCATCTTTTTTATTTCAGTGGCATCTTGGATTTCATAAAAAAGAGTTTACACCCCTGTACAGAGGCTTTGAGACCCACTATGGATATTATCTTGGGTGTGGAGACTATTATGATCATACATCAGAGGCAAATGAGGTATACTATCAACTGAATTCTAAAATATGATAAGAGGTGGAAAAAAAGACATTTCATTTACATTTATTTAAGACACAAAATGTCAGTTTTAAATTTTTACACACTTTGTATGACATCACTGTAAATTAAGTCTACTGTTTCAAGTGTCTTCACATATGATTGTGTACTACTTGAAATTCCACACTAAACAAAGCTTGGTATCCTGTCCTCTTTTTCTTAGTGCTGTGCATGCTACATTCTCTCAGTGAAAAGAATTTTGCATTCCAGGAATATTTTGGCTTTGACTTTTGGAGAAACTCAACTGTGGACTTTACAGGAATCGGGCAGTACTCAACAGACCTGTTCAGACAAGAGGCCAACATGATAATACAGAAACATAACACATCAGAAGTAAGTGAAAGTGAAGAAATATCATTCAAAAAAAAATATTAAAAATTGAGGGAGAGGAAAACCCTAATATGAATTGAAGAGAAGAAAGTTGCTGCATGGATACATTCTTTTTTAATAAAAATATGTCCGATATAATATTTACATTAGTCTCTTAAAATGACAAAATATGATAAGTGTTTTGTGGGGAAGTATTAGACTGACAAAGATTAGCAAATTTCCAGCCTTTGTTTCTGTACCTGCCTTTCCAAGCTGTCCACAGTGGAAATCTCCCGAGTGGGAAAAATCTCCAGGCCCCGACAAAGTACATAAAGAAATTCTCTCACATCAAAAATACAGAAAGAAGAACATATGCTGGTATATATATTAAATTATTATAACTTTAAATGTAACATCAATATTAATGATATCTTTCTCAGTATGGAAATTTTCTACACTAGAGAAGCAGAAGTCATAGAGGACAAAATTTTGTGGAAAAATTAAAATGAAACTCATGGATGTTAAAATTAACTGAGGCATTAAAAAAAGAACGCTTTAGATTACTAAATTTTTGTGACATGTTATTTTGTTAAACAGACATTAAATTTTAATCTTTATTAGCAAGACAAAATTGTCGCAAATTGTGGTTACTGCTCTACATCTTTAGGAATACTAATATTTATGCAAGAATGATAATTTTGTGAGTAGACTATCTTGTGTAATAACACACAAAAAAAAACTTATCATGAATGAAAAGTGATCAGAGTATTCATTCCAACATCTTCGCAAGTGAAGGGTTTTCCTGTAAGGAGTTAAGTGGACGGAAAACCCTTGGCACATGAAGATGTAATTCCAGATTATTAGTGATTTGAAATCACAAGGTTACCCCTTGTAAACATTCTCATGTAAAGCCATAAAATTTTCATCTACCAAATATTTGTTCCTGTGCATATTGCACATGAATATCACTAAAATGTCTCTTTCAATCTTATAAGATAACTGTCACAAAATAATATGAAATCTGTTCTTCAATTCAGCTATGGTTTCTGCATTGGATGATGCTGTTGGGTCCATAGTGCAAACACTTAAAGACAAGAAAATGTATGGAAACTCCATTATTGTTTTCACAACAGACAATGGTGGGCCAGCTAATGGGTTTGATGGTAATGCTGCCAGCAACTTTCCTCTAAGGTAAAATAAGAAGCAAACATTTGGGAAATTCATGTATATTGTTATTTTTATGCCTCCATAATAGAAGATTCAGGGGTTTTTGGCCTCTCATCCATCTGTCTGTCTATTTGTGTGCAAAAACTTTAACCTTGCTCTTAACTTTTGAGTGGGTGGGGCTATGGCTTTCATATTCACAGGCGAATTTCTTGTCACAAGACCCTTTTTTCGGGTACCACTTAATTTGACCTCTTGGCCTCAGTGTTTGACCCATTTTTAGCCAAAAAAAAAAATTACCACACTTTAACCTTGGCCATATCTTTTGAACAATTGTTGTAGGGCTTTTATATTTTTCACGTGTATTTATGGTGACAAGAACTTTCAGTAGGTATAAATATTTTTGATCTTGACCTTAGATTTTAACCCACTTTTAAAAACTTACCTTGGCCATAAATTATGAACAGTTAGAACTTGGACTTCCATATTTCACAGGTGTATTACTTGTGACAAGAATCCCTTTTGGGTACCAACAATTTTGACCTTGACTGATGGTCATCAACATATGAAAATTTCCAACGTATGATAAAGCGCTTTTATTTTTTAGAGGTGTCAAGGCCACATTGTGGGAGGGAGGAGTGCGAGGAGCTGGCTTTATATCTAGTCCTCTGTTAAAGTCCAGAGGTTACGTGTCCAATCAGATGATCCATGTGACGGACTGGTTACCAACCCTGTACACGGCTGCTGGGGGCCAGGCAGGGGATCTTAAAAATTTGTATGGAGTAGACCAGTGGCAAGTATTACAAACGAATGGCAAGCCAGTCAGGAGTGAACTGCTGCATAACATAGACCCTCTGGACAAAACAGGTGCTATAAGAGTAGGGGATTACAAACTAATATATGGGCCTGTAATGGGCTGGGATGGTTGGTATCCCCCATACCAAGTCTCTACAGACTCGAACAGTAATGCCAGAATTGACATTTCTCAACAAAATAGTAGAAAGAGACTTGTACAGGAAATGGAGTTTGAACCTCAGTCATTTAATTTCAGTCATGGAACACCAGTAAAAATTCAGTGTGGAACCAAGCCTTTCAATGCCAGTACAAACTGTCAGGCCAATAAAGTTCCATGTTTGTATCATATACCATCAGATCCTTGTGAGTACAACAACATAGCAGCTAGTCATATGGAAATTGTGTCCAACCTGATGGACAAAATTAAATTGTATGAGAAAACCATGATGGTACCTCCTGGAAATAAGCCATTTGACCCAGCTGGAAACCCACGTAACCATGGAGGCATATGGATGCCATGGCTGGATTAATAGGCAGGACAGACTAATTAATTAAGAAATGTGATTTTGATTCCAAAAATCATAAAAAAAATATTTTTTAGTAAAGAAAACACTTTATTTTTCTATCTTTTATTTTAACATCTACATTTGTATTTCAGGGAACAATGAAATTTTCTGAATTTGAAATTAATGAAATCATGTGCAGCATTTTTTGCTTAATTTTTTTTTTTTAACATACTCTTTTTTTTAATAATCTTTGTAATGGTTGTATTTTTGAAGCCTCTGAGCTTTAAACTTAAAATTAAATTGAACTATTATGATTGTACTTACATAAATACTTAAGCATATATTTGCAATAAAGGTTTAGAATCTCAGTACTTTACACTGCAATACATGTATGTGTGTTTAAATGCTGATGTTTATATTCTATACATGTACAATATACTACATGAAAGTCTTTTTGAGGTTGTGAGGAAATTTTATAGAGCTGTACTTTATCTTGTTTTTTTCAAACACATTGTTACTGCGTTTTAGCTCACCTGAGCAGAAAACTCCAATTGAAATTGTCCATCGTTCATCTCTCTTTCTTAACTTCTCCCATCCCTGATTTCTTCTCCAGAACCACACCAGTGTCAATCAATCATGTCTCAGGGCATTTAGCATAAATGGGATTAAAATTGTTCAAGTGAAGCACCCATTATCCCATTAAAGGGAGATACTCAAGAAAAGGAAAATATTTTGGGTTCATTTTAAAATCAAGTGAATGAGAATTAATGTGACAGAAAAGAAGAAACTTGTGCAAAATCTTCCAGATATAGGAAAAGACTTCAGTTTGTTGAAATCATGGCCCCAGGGGGTAGGATGGTGCCACAACAAGGGAATTTTACATAGGAATTTATGGGAAGAAATTTTTTTAGTAATCTTCATCACAATAATGGCAGGACCAAGATTACTGTAGATTACTAAATTTTCGCGACACCATATTTTCACGTGATAGTCATTGACTCTTGATTAGCGAGACAAAATTTTCACGAATTGTGGTTATTGCTCTATATAATCTTAAGGAATACTATTATACGCGAGAATTTAATTTTCGCGAGCACACTGTCTCGCGTAATTACGCGAAAATAAAGTTCTCGCGAATAAAAAGTGATTTACAGTATTGAGAATAGTAATGTTTAAGTAACCTCAGGTAAAAAATCTAATTTTCTAAGAAAAGGGCCAAGTTTAATCAGTGAGCATTGTGGCCCATGATCCCGGTTTTTTTCCCCCAATCATATACAGGTTTAGTTTTATGTGGAGCTTTTTATTAATTCCAAAGTGGCATAAAGGATATGAAGTGAGAAAGAGTGAGAGAGAACATTGAAATTTGTTAGGACAGAGGAGATGAAATATTCTAAAGTCGACACAAGAGAATAAAATATTGTGTTCAAATAATAATGACCTTATTAATCCATGTACAACTGAACTGGGTATTATGCAATAAATAAATTGGTACAAAATATATTTTGATTTTCTATAGCATAAATTAGACCTATCCTTTAGATATGCATGCAGACATGTTTACAAACAGATGAACTGAGTTTATTCATATACTGTATACAGGGAAATTTTCGTCCCTTTCGCCCTTCTCACACGTGGGCAAATTTCAAACAGGACGAATCAAAACAACACAGTATAATTTCTTAAACAAAACTGTGACTGCGCGATTTTAAAATGGGGCAGAATGGTTTGCAAGAGTGAAAGGGCGAAAATAATCCTGTATACAGTAGATCAAACCTGGGTACATTTTAAACTATTTATAGGTACCACGATGGAGCCATCTCGTCTGTCTCATTTTTAATTATTTTTTCTCTTAGGTTGATAAGTTAAATATTCACTTAGCATGCAATTCAAAGGACTCTAAACATAACCATGCAAAAACACATGAAAAAGAAAAGTATTTATCAAAATGTTTATTAATATACATACTATTATTTTTACAATATAAATATTATTAGGAAATTGTACATGCAGAATTTGTTTCATGCTCTCTATAGTTGCATGCATATATAACAAAATGTATTTTACACATGCTCGCTCAACTTACCAAATTTGCAATTCTAGTGGACGAAGAATTTGCTCATACTAATGATTGCCAGAACTGAAAACATAGCATTAATATTATCAATTATACAACAGGTATAGCAACTGAATATAACAACATGACAATGATACAAACTAAAATCAACAAAATAAACAATGAGTAACTAGAATATACCCAAACATTTTTTTCTGCATTTTAACTGTCAAGCTCATCAAAAAGCTGGCAATTTTGGAAGAAAGAGTCCTCATTAATCAAAGAGAAGTCAAAAAGAGAATCATCAACTACCTGCTCTTCATCAAATGGGGTGTCCCCCAGATTTCCTCCCATTTTCAGCACGCTATTGAGAAAATCATCCAGGGAACTGTCCTGTGTCAAGTCATTTCCAGAATTAGGAAAGGGGGAGAGTTTTCGGTCCTCTGATCCTGAGGATTGAGGAATACTGCAGAACTCAGGCAGTGTGTGACCTCCCCTTAAAATATCTCCTTCAAGCAGTCTGCTGTGATCATGGTCGTCTATGTTATCACAAATAGAGTTTACTGCATTAAACAACTCTTCACTTTCACTGTTTTCTTCAACCTCCTCTAAGTCTTGCAATGAGAATCGCTCATCAATATATGAGTCTGTGGTATCCTCATTTTTACTCACATACAATGTTTCTGAGTCGGTGAAAATTGTTTTCATGTTGCCTAGCATTTCCTGAGTATGACTTTGGTTTTTCTTTGAAAGGTGCATCTGTTTGAGACTGGAGCATGGACTGAATGATGGAATCATAATGTAGTCACATCTAGAGGAGCTTGCTTCATTACAACATGAATTGATACTGGAGAAACATGGGCTGATATTGTGTAGCAATGGGTTGGAAACAAATTCCTTTTCAAAGTCTCGGTTGTCTATTGCTGCAGATGAATAGTTTGCATTATTTGGGTCACTCTCACAAAAAGAATTTACTGGTCCACCAGAAGCTAGAAAATTTAATTCATAAATATAAAACATAAAAAATGGCTACAGTAGACAGAGAAATTTATCCCGGTTTTATTTTTGCACTTTTCATTCTACTCATAGGTAGGCCAATTCTAAATGGGGCAAATTGTAATAACACAGTATAATTTTTTTAACAGAGCTTTGTCTGGGCAAATTGAACAATAGGCTCAGGGCCACATTGCTCACCTGAGCAACTGGGTACTAATAGGTAGAAGCAACAAGAGGCCCATGGGCCACATTGCTCACATGATCACTTGGACTAGGTAAAAACACAAATCAACTCAGTATTGAAAAATTTACGGGGAGGGGATTTATACTACATGATTTGAACAAACCTGAATCTACACCACCTGAGGATGATTCAACATGAGTTTCATCTTTCCTGGCTCAATGGTTCTTGAGAAGAAGATTTTTAAAAGATGCCATTTATTTTTCACTACCGTTAATTTATAAGTATCTCCCCTTGGAAAGGGTATTTGAACAAATTGAATCACCTTCACGTAAGAATACTTTGCAACATGACAACGGCAGGACAGACAACAGAAAATTTTGATCAAAAAAAGCTCACTTGAGCCTTCGACTCAGGTGAGCAAAAAATATGGAAAAATTATTTGAAAGTTTTAATGGGCAAAAACAGCATTTGAAGAAAATAACCCTGTATACTGTATATCTTCTATTTACTAGTTTCAAGTTTGTTTTTTATGCCCCACCATGAATATGGCAGGAGCATATAGAGTTTGTAATGTCTGCCTTAAATTCATCCTTCGGTTTGTTCCTAACTTCCTATGCCTGCTTTGCATTTAGCTAAGTTCAAAGCTTAGCTTCAAAGAACATATTCTAGATATTTTTATCAAACTTCATTGACTGATACATACTGATAAGAGCTAGTCAAAAGCATCAAAATTTTTTGACCTTGACCTTTCCTTTGACCTCACTTTTCTTAAATTAATGTTAAGCTCAGTTTGAAAGAAACCATTCAAGAAAGTGCAATCAAATTTCTTATGCTCTCCTTTGACCTTGAACTCACTTTTCTTAAAGTGTTATGGTCAGTTTCAAATATTTTTATGAAACTTTTTCTTGAATAACTACAATAAAATTTTTAGAGCAGGTCCTATCAAGGTAACTATTAGACCTACCCAAACCAAACTTGTATGGATGATGCATCTAGGGATATGCATACTAGTAGATAAAAGTTTAAGTGTGGGGCTTTTGCCTTACTTAAAGACAACAAACATAGATTTAAGCTGTGTAATCTCTGATTACCCATGATTATTATTCTCATAGAAAATGGAAATTGTGAAATTGATATCACTGAATTCAATTAAAAAACTACAAGAAAACTTGATCAAACTACAAACCATTTAGATGTGATGAAGGCCAGCTAGAGAGGATTGGGTCACACCGATGTACTGGGCTCTGTCTCACATCACTCTCCTCTGTCACGGGGGTAGCAGTCAGAGATATCTTCAGTCCATACTGTTTGGCTACCTTCAGAAGTGCCTATAAAAATATTAAGTCATAATACAGGTATTTTTGAGTTGAGTTGGAAATCGTACCAAATTTTTTTTTTCAATTGCAAGTCTGTTTTCATGTACCATTATAAAACAAAATCACATGCCTGAAGTTACTAGTCTTATGATAAATCAAAGAGCAAAGAAAGTTAAGACCAGAACACACTGGGGGAGAAAATTTTGTTATCCGTCGTGTAATCAACCCCCAAGTAATTCCTTTCTAAAATGTTTTCACTATGAAAAAGTTAAAATATTTTGGAAATTTCAGGTTGGTTCTACGACGCAATAACTTAAGATACCCCATGAGTCACATTGTCTCAAGCCATGGTTTGGAGTCTGCATGTAGCTTTCCTACCCGTTTGTGCTTGATCACATAAATAGTTGTAATCTTGAATATTTACACCTCTATGCTGTGACGTCATGTTCAGCCAATGACAATATTTGATTTGTTTCCATCGCAATAGAAATCAACATTGACATCATCAGTAAACAAAAAATATTTCGTTGAGTGTGATTGGCTATTGAAAGGTCGTGACAAAGTTCATTTTCGACTATGCTTTACTCGCTTTGGTCAGTATTTTAATGAAGTACGAAATATTCTCCTCTCATTCAACCACGGCCAGAATGGGAGAGGATCGTACATTTTAGCCATGGTTTGAGACGATGCATGAGTCAGAGCAGTTCATTTGAGCTCTCATCTGAGAGAGTGCATGCAAAACAACTGCATAAATCATCACTTGACAATTTATTATTCATTTCCTTAGGATTATAACTGCTTTGAGACATTTTTATACCTCCAAACTGTTGGTAACATTGTGATTCCATCCCTCCTTTGTATCTTCTTTCATTTCTAACAGCTCTCCGTTGGGTTTGAACTGCAGTCGGCACATATTCCCTTCATTTTTCTTCTTTTTTGATCTTCTTTTTCCTATAGTCAAAACAGAAAATAATCAGTCCTATAACATGATGTAGCTCCAAAGTCTTTCAAAACTGCATTCTGACTTAACTTCAGAAGGAAAAATCTGCACATACATTTGTATTATCAAAGATGGTGGAGGAAAGAAAATCCCTCTCAAAATTTGGGGAAATCAATGTAGAAAAAAATGGGCTGGCTTCAAAGTTCTACATATATAAATTTTAAAAGAAAAATAAGGTATAGAATATTCAGCTTCAATATACTTTTCGGAACAGGATTGTGTTCTTGGGTTGGTGATTCAATGTCTTTTGTTGGCTGTGAGGACCTTTCATTGCTGGGAGGTCTAAATGTTGGTGGGTCGACATCTGTGTTCAGGGCCCAGTAGGAACCTTTACATCTGATCTGTGAGACTGAGAACTTGATCTTCCTAAACCACTTCTGGTACAAAGCATGGCGAATGGAGGACTGTAAAATGTTCATAATTCAACACGTATATCACTCAATCATACATGATCCATAATATGATATTTTTTAAAAGCCATGAAAGATATTAGACTGAATCTTTGCTAATGACAGACTTTACCCTCCAGCTGCTGATACTGGGTTTGTCCATGTATCTGTAGTACGGATACTTGTTCCTGTAAAGACATACAGCAAAAATTTAAATAAAGCTATAACAAGTAACTAAGTTAAATATTTTTTTCATCTTTTTCTATTCTCAATCACTGATGCACCATTAAGCATTCATCTGACTTCTTGAACTCTTCTTCACATTCAATGCTTAGCTGTTACATTGTATTATAGAACTTTGGGTTAGATCAATGACAAATCTTAGACCATAGCAATCTTTGGGTCAAGTATGAGCTTTCAATATTTCTCCTTTACAAAGTTTTGGTCCAGAGATGACTGCAGATTCGGACAGACAGCTTTACAGACACCAACCGAAAATTTGATTTCAATAACCTCTAGCTCTTAAATTTCCTTTTTGAGAAGAAACTAATAAAAAGTAATGAAGTTCTACTCACTGCAGAGCAGCATAGATTTGGGGGACTTGCAGTAGGCCATCTGGACTGTCATGGAGCACTTTAGCCACAATTTCCACTAGCTTTCTTGTTGGCCGCAATAGTCTGGTACCTTATGAAAAATAGGCTATAAAACAGTTTTAAAGAGAATAATCAATACATTTTGTTCAGCATTTTAGTATACTAACTTCTTGAGAAAATTGAAGAAAGACTGAAACATTACATGCTGATGTCCAGAAGAAATGAATGCAAAGCATGCTTGGAATACACTGCCATTCATTGATTTGTATTTGAAATAGCAAGGTCAAGCTGCTAATTATGGGGAACAGAACATGCCTTTTATCTAATGCAAAACAGAGGGTAAAAAAGTTGGAAGATCATCGGGGTCATAATCAACATTACTTGCCACTTCTATGCATACATACATGGCAAAAGAAAATGTAAAAAAAAAAATATGGCTATTCTGCCTATTCATAATAATATTCTATACCAGTAGGCAGCATTTTGGTGTTGTCATAGGGGTCCAGAAAATCATGACTTTTAATATAACAGCTGTCAGTGAGGTAGCTCCCCTTCTTCCTTTTTGCTGGCTGTGGAAACTCCTTCACAGATCCGTCCACGTTTACAATGAAACACGGCTCTGGACAACATAATTCAGAGCCTCCGGGCTTAACAAAATGATAAATATCTGCAGTTACACTCCTACAATATTCCTCTGCCCTCTCATGGATATCTTTTTCTTCCTTCTGCAAAAATAATATCTTTTTAACCTGCTCCAAAAGGACCATGAAAATTTTGTTTCCTTTTATCCATACTAACTTGCTTTAAGTACTTTTCATCTATTTCTAGCCAACATCAACTGTCAGAGAAATGTCGAATTATGAGATAATGCAGCAGAGTGAATTTTAATAAGTTTATGTACTCAGAAACAGACCCACTGATTCAAGAAGCCCCAACTGTAAAACACTAATCTTATTTTAAAAAAGACTGTTGTCTGTGTTTTTAAAGGCAAAAATGGCATTATTCTGGTGTCATTCCACTGCACACTAGCCTGGTGTGTGTGCTGTAACAAGAGACCCATAGGCCACAAAGCTCAACTTTGTCCCTGATTTTCTTCACTATATTTTTCCTTGTAAAACTAACCCTTTTGTGTCCACAACCTACCCTAAGGACCATGATTTGTCATTTATAATGTACAGTACCTCAGAATACCTCAAGAAGTTTCCAAACAATTTCCCCTTTTCTGGCCCACTGGTTCTTGAGAAGATTTTTAAAGATTTTCCCTATATATTTTAACACAAAACAGTACTTTGATTTCTTATTGTGACACTACCCTATCCCAGGGGCCAGTGGCCATGATTTTAAGAATTTAGAATCTTCTGTCTACACTACCCTGGAAAGCTTCCACATATAAGTGCAAAAGGATTCAATAAACCTCATTGCAAAATTTGAGAATTCTTCTTACTTTGGTAAACAAGAATTTGCCATTGATAACTTTTTCTTGAATACATTTCCTTCTCTCTTCCGTCATTTCTTCATCCTCAGATTCATCTGTAACATTACACACAAGGAAAATACGTCATACATACATGACATCATTGACATATGGCACAAAATTTGAAGTTTAGAGAAACTTTAAGAGGATTTATTGTAACTTACAATCATCATCTTCATCAATCGATAAAAAAGGGATGGAATACTGTTGTCTCAGTTTCTTTTTGTCTTTCCTCTTTCTGTACTTTTTCTTGGACTTCATGGATGGGTACACATGGATCCTTTTCTGATTGTTTTTTGTAATTATTTTCAGGAAATGCATTTCCTCATCACAATCCTTAACTGGGGTTAGAGTGAAATGCTGACCATTGAATTTCAGCTTTCGTTTTGGCTTTGATCTTTTGGCAAGTTCAATACGTTTGAATCCATGAAAAGTGGTGGAACTGTGAATATTGATTGATACTTCAGGAATAGTCCTAATATCATCAGTAGAACTCATCTTACCTGTAATATACATTTTTTATCTGTACAGTGTATTTACATTTTGCCTCCTAACACTACAAAAGATAGAAGAAAGATAAATTTGTTGCCCAAAAGCAAGAGAAATATCATAATGATTAGGGATCAACAAAGTACAAAAATTAGTCTTAAGACTAATATTCAGTTAACAAATCATAGAGTAGATTTAGCTATTTCCATTAAAAATCATGCTTTATAATAGGCACATATATAAAAGTCATTTTATACTCTCCCATACTGACCTATTTTGGCCTTTGAAGAATATTTTATGTACAACAAAGATGGAGTATTCTTGTCTCATTTTTATTCATTTATTTGGAATTCTACATACAACCTGAACATTTAACAACTCTCAATCTTTTTTATCAATACAGTCATTTATTTTTGGTTATTCTTTTATTCAAATGCTAATTATCAGAGATTAATTATCATAATTGAATATGAGTGAAAGGAGAATAACTTTCTTCAGTAATGTAAAAATGAAACAGTCTTACCTTAGCATTAGAACACCTTGATCCGGGAATGATGAGCCATGAATATAAGTCTATATAGTCTGGAGTCAAGGCCTCCTTACTTCTATCCAAAAGACATAAAAAATGATCAGGCAGGGATTTTGTCAACTAAACAGTCAAGTAAAGAGTGACAATTTGTTTGCATCTTAGATTTTAAACAGAGTCTATACTATTAGGCAAAACCCCAAAAACCTGTCTTTTTCTCTAATGAGAGTATCACTGGCCCTTGGCCTTGGACCATGAATTTCAAAGTTTTGGATAAAAGAATCTTTCATGTTGTATGTCAATAATATTCAAAGTATAAATTTTTTCACAGTTTTGTCCTCATCCCCGGCCCCCAAGGTCCCAGAAACCATGAAAATAACACCTTTGACTTTGTGTGGTTGCTCTGGACCCACAATCTAAATTTGTTGAAAATGGTCTAGTGCTTGATCAGGACAGATTTTCTTTTTAAGTTTGAAGTTTAAGACCGGCAAACGACGGATTCAGATTGCAATAGGTCACCTGATCCTGAGTCACTGAGTGAGGTACCCCACAAACATATTATCAATATGGTCGTTTCTGATAAGAAATTTCGTAATTGATTCCGTTTCCTAAATAAAAAATGTACATTTTTGTCATAGATTACAAACTTACATTATTTACAGGCAGTGGTGTTTTTTTTTTACAAATAGAAGAAATGTAAATTTCATTCTCGTCTGCAGGGAAAAGGCATTCCACATATCAGACAGATTGGGAAATCTCATTGGCTAAAGTTGTAATGTAATGTTGAACGTGATTAGTGGATTTTATCTCCCGCGAAATTCGGCAAGCTTTTCTGACACCATGCGAACCATTTCTTATGCATTATCATGAATTATTTCATCATTAAACAGGTTTTTTTTAAATGGAACATTTTGTAAAGTTCGAGAAAATTAAGAGTTATTTACTACAAAATATTAATATTTTTAATTTAAAAAAGTTTCAAGAAACCTTAAACAGATTTTAAAAGATTTTTTTTCATTCAAACTACTCATGAAAATTAACAAAATTCATCATAATATACACACACAATTATTATATTATTAACATATCTATCATACAACCGTCAGTGTAAAAAAAACAAAAACAATTTCGGTTAAAATAAACCTATATATTTACACTCGTCAAAATGAAAAGGGGGTGTAAAAAGGTGAAATGATATATATAGGCCATAATAGGGCCTTCAATAGCTGTTCAAAATAGTTGTAGACAACGCAAATCAAACAAATTACGTTAGAATGCTGAAAGGGTGCCTTGATTGTTGGACATAATGAGCGTACCATGGCCTCTGTAAATTTTCCCATCAGTATGGTTCTACAACAACACAAAAAAAAAATCGGTACAATATGGTCGGAAATTTATTTGATTAAATGCATTGAAACGTAATTCATAAATTTGCAATGCTATACCGGGTTTTTTTTATGATGGGGAATATATCTTTTCATACATATACATGTACTAGAAATTAATTTTAAAACATCTATATCTTTATAAATGGAAAAAGAAATTGTTAATGAGATGTATATGAATATCTCGATATACAGTGTATATACATGCAAATCCAAAGCTTTTTTAACAAATGGGTGCCTCCGTATTGCACGAAATTAAAACCGTTAAGAGGACTAAACGGAATGGTTACATAAATCTAAACCTTATTTTCGATTGCGTTATAGGCACTGACAAAATGACGGAACCTATCCCCAGTGTAGTAAATTGGATGTAGGGGCTGTACTTTCTTGAAAAAAAAACCTAAAAATGTACGATTCGCTCATGGCTACTGGGTTGTCCGTCAGAGATAGGAATAACTAAAGATATTTCATTAGGACTTAGATTCTAATACACTGTAACTCAACAATGAAATCAAGAAACTCCGGGAAGGAGGCAGATTACATTTACAGAGACATACCATCAGAAAAGGTTGATTCTGCATGCCTCAGAATGTGAGTGGATGTTGACAGTTACACTGCAGCATTTCGTCAACTGGTGATCAGTAATGATATATACTTTCAGTATTTAAAAAAATTGGGTAATAAGCTATTGATTTTTAATAATACAAGACTCTGTAATACATCTAAAATTAACAAGAGATGTTTGTAAAATACTTATCCCCCCTCCCCCAAATTGGAATTTTTCCAAGTCCAAGGGGCATAACTCTACCAAAAATGGCACGATCGTACCCAAAACAGAACTTGGCCTAGATATTCAGCTGATAAATCTGTATATTAAATTTTATTTAAATATGTGCAACCTCTGCGAAGTAAATGAGCAAAAACTGCAAATAATTGGAATTTTTCTATGTCCAAGGGGCATAACTCTGACAAAAATGGCGCGATCATACCAAAAACAGACCTTGACCTACATTTTCAGCTGATAAATCTGTATACAATATTTCATTTCAGGGTGTGCAACCTCTGCGAAGAAAATGAGTGGAAACTGCAAATAATTGAAATTTTTCCAAGTCCAAGGAGCATAACTCTTATAACCAGAAGTCTCTGTCGAGACTGTAGCTCTACTAGTTTGTACTTATAAAAAAGGATGAGAATAGAAGCCATTGCCATCAGACCAAAACTGTAGAAGGAGTAGCGTTTTAAAGGAATTTCAGACATTTCTATTTTTAGTAACAACAACATTGTTCATCGAAATCAAAAACCAATGCACAATTTTATGTATCTTAGTGTAGTCTACTTGTGTGCCAAGTAATATTGAAATCAGACCAAAACTATAGGAGGAGTAGCGTTTTAAAGGAATTTCACAGAAAATTCTATTTTTAGTAACCATGGCAACACTGTTCACCGAAATCAAAAACCGATGCTCTATTTTATGTATCTCAGTGCAGTCTACTTGTGTGCCAAGTAATATTGAAATCAGACCAAAATTGTAGGAGGAGTAGCGTTTTAAAGGAATTTCACAGAAAATTCTTTTTTTAGTAACCACGGCAACAACATTCATCGAAATCAAAAACCCATGCACAGAATTATGTATCTTAGTGTAGTCTACTAGTGTGCCAAGTTATATTGAAATCGAACCAAAACTATAGGAGGAGTAGCATTTTAAAAGAATTTCATAGAAAATTCTATTTTTAGTAACCATGGCAACACTGTTCACCGAAATCAAAAACCGATGCTCTATTTTATGTATCTCAGTGCAGTCTACTTGTGTGCCAAGTAATATTGAAATCAGACCAAAACTGTAGGAGGAGTAGCATTTTGAAAAATTGTTTACAGACAGACGGACAGACAGACAGACAGACGGACGACGGACACCTTACTATCGCATAAGCTCTTCTGGTCTCTGACCAGTAGAGCTAAAAATGGCGCGATCGTACCCAAAACAGAACTTGACCTAGATATTCAGCTTATAAATCTGTATCCAAAATTTCATATCGGTTTGTGCTACGGTTGAGAGGAAAATGAATGGAAACTAAATGAACCGGCAGACAGACAGACAGCAGCAAATCAATATGCCCTCCCTTCTTTGAAGGAGGGCGTAAAAAGTTTTTCTTTCTTTTTCTTTCAAGTAAACAATGTTTATAATTTCACCAAGTAATAACAACTTATCAGAGTTCAATATTTAATCATTTCTATCATAAAATCATTAAAATGCATCTTTATTCATATTATACATGTACACACAATTGGCTTAATCTTTATGCTGTAGTAAAATGGAGCAAAATATATCTAATTAAACTACAGAAACACGGCAGAAAAAAGGGGAAATAAATACAAACAAAAGATAGCATTTAGTCTGTAAATGATTTGAATTACCGGTAGTTTGGTAAATGTTGAATATGCTTACTTATAATTAAAACTGGTACTCATTTATCACACTTTCATTCATTTGAAATTTGAATTTCAAATATATGCAAAAGAAAAGCAAACTACAAAATTTCAACTCGGCAAATCACAATATTTACTGTCAAGAATATGACTAATCAATGGATCATTCATACCAAAAAATTGAAACGAATAGAGAAAGGAATTGATTTGAGTTACTTTCATTGAACAAATTAAAGTTGACATGATTCTGACAACAATAATGTTTTATTTGGCACATTTTGACGTAAAAGAAATAAATAATCGACACATACAATCTGAAAATGCATACAACATATATTGGACAAAGAACATCGACATATAAACTCGTACAAATTATAAACAATACATTCCCTGGATTTCTATGGAAGATTTAGCTTCTTTATCAGTTGTCAAGATGGCTGGGTAGGAATACTGCTGCTATCCATGGACGTCTTGACTGAGGAGAGCATGTGTCCGAATTTGGCCAAGTCCTCCCCAGCTTGTTTAAGTATAGCTAGAGCCTGTTCACCTGGAAATGAAGTAAAGTGTACTCATCCATTCTCCCTGTGATATATTTTGAATATTACATTTCCACAAAACATTATTGTAAGTTGGAAAATGAAATTATTAAGACAGGAGTGAATAGAAAAGCTTAATAGCAGGGTACATGTATCTAATACATGTTCATAAGCTTAATATGAAACAAAATGTCTATCCAACCTACAGTCAGAGTCTTAGCAAGAATAAAGATAAATATCTAGCTTGAAAGTGATTTTAACCAAATGTTTCATAATTCTTGAACCTAATTGTCAGAGTATTTTCAGTCCCACTATATTTCATTAAATATAAATCTGCAAGAAGTTGTTGCTTGAATTATATATATGTATATATATCTAAATTTGAAATGATGTCATAAGCAATAACATGAAAAAATCCACTTACTTGCTGCGACTGTGTTTGAATAATCTCCCTTGCCACCTTTTTGAGGTGTTGATGACACTATAGGTTCTAATTCATGTAAAAGAGACAACCCAGTTTTATTCATGATCATCGATGCTTCCTCTGGTGAAGTGCTCGTAGACTGTACCTCGGGGTACATCCTGTTCACCATGTCCAAGACCCGGCGAGCTCTCTCCAGAATTTCCTCTTCACTGTATGGAGCATGACCAAACTGTTCAGGATTAGTAACATCTAAAATCTGTTCAATCAGAGGATTCTCTCTGAGTGAAAAATTATTCAAAGACACAGGGTTAAAAGCATTGGCATCATTTTCTTTGGCAATGAATTCTGGGAAATCTGTGGGTTGATTCGGGTCCTGTAGTACAGAATCTATTGGGAGTTTATTGAACAAAGACGTCAAGTTTGTGGACGGAGGCATCTCACTATTGGCTGTCACAGAAAATGGGTTACTCTGACTGGATGCTAATCCTGTATCATGATTGGTTGATTGAAGACTAGCAGTCTGATAACCTGTGTCCTGATTGGTTGAATTAGGTGCAATGCCATGATCATCCATTTCCATAGAATAATCCTTTGCATAGAGCAAACTAGATGTCTTTATTTCATCTGCAAAACGTAAATGCTTTGATGGCTGCTCGTTTGATTCAAACTCCATAGCAGTCTCCTCAAAGTCATGAAGAATGTTTCTCTGGCCACGCCGAGCTAAGTGGGAAATTTTTCGTGTTGTTGTTGGTTTGCTTTCTAAGAGACCATCAGAAGCCAGAGGAGTATTTGTTTCTACGTCAGACTCATCTGAGGGAAAATCTGTAATAAAAATTGTCTCAAGTACCAATGGACTGCATTAAATATATAAATCTTTACAATTTATCAACTTTTGATGTAATCTGCATTAGGGCAGCATGTGTAGGAAAACTTAGAAATCACCTTTATAAACCCTTATTATCTCTGCAAGTATTAAGTTGTCCATTTAGAAAATGAAAAAGTTGGGTTTTTCCCTACTAGAAATGAAAAACATAAAAATGAATGCTTCAAAATTAATTGTTTTCAAGTTCATAATTTTCTTTAAGAGTATACAGCTGAACTTCGGTGTATTTTGTATATTTTTGAAACCTGCTCTCTGAAAATCCATGGATATGTCAATACTGTCAAAGTGATTCCAAAGTCCAAACTACCTATTTCTTAAGTCTTTCACTCTAGATATCTGAAAACCTTGGATATCTAGCAGTTTTTTTGCCTTGGTCCCTTCGAGTTTGGGATAACAAACTTTGACTTTATCTACATTATGTAAAGTAAAACAAATATAATTCCACAACAATTACCTGGCAGTGGTTCCTGTATAAATGATCCCTGGTCATCATCCAGGATCCCTGGATTGGCACAGATTGGGGAGACCCCTGGACTCTGGATGGACAGCTTGGACCGGCTCTTTGTCTGGGGGGTCTTACAGAGGCCACCCTTAATGGGAGACACCTCAGGGCTACTGAGAGATTGAGCAAATTCAGCACTCATGTTCTTCTGGACTGTACCCTCTCCAAATATTTTCTCGTGGGGTGAAAAGAGACCAGAAGACCTCTTTGTGGCTGAAACAAGGGAGACAATTAAAATATAACTCAGCACTGTCCAGAGATAATTTTGACCAATTTTAGACCAATTATTCTTGCAATTTTTCTTTTTCTTTATAATTTTCAATCAATCTCTTGTGCACGTCATATTTTCCAAATAAAGTATCTTTTACATGTAACTTTAAATTTAAAACAAAAGATTAAATTCCCCCTCCAGCCCCCTAACTATACAGAGGATGACTTTCCCATGTAAACAGTCATGTATTATAATACTTTACTCACACACAAGTCCATGAACTATGGGAGACAACTCTGGGGAACTGAAGAGTTCTCTTTGTTGTTGTTTGATCTGAATCTCTGGAGTTTCTAGTCCCTTTATATTCTTTATCGGGCTTGATGAAAAGTGACTCTGTAATATACATGAAATATTCAGGATATTTGGATATTTTTTACTTCAACTACATGTGCATTTTCAATTAAATTTTCTTATCATTAATGAATTTGAAAACATTGAACTAGCTGTCAAAAAATACTGTTTACTTCAAAATGCCAATATATCTACACCAAAATTAAGCAATAACTGATGGTACTAGGTTACAAGAGTAGCTAATGGCCTTCAACTTACTCTGCTGGGTGGCCTAAGGGGTGTGGCATGCTGGAAGGGAACCTCTGTTTCATTGGCTGTGAATACTTGTGGGGAGGAGCAACCAATGAAATCTATATCCTCATCTCTCACAGGGGCTGTCCTAAATATACATTTTGGTTTATTTGTTTATAATGAACAACAGAATAGTCTCTGCATGTTCAATTCAATATGCACAGAAAATATTAAAACCTAACAGTCTAACAAGCGAATATTTAGGAATTATTTTCTCCAGTCCTGTAGTAATACTTACTTTACAGGACTAATAGCAAAACTACTATTGTCTGGATGAAAGAACAACTTCCTTCTTAAAGAGGAAGTGCTTAACACATCCTGTACAGCTTCCTTTTTCTGTGAAGTTTCCTGAGGGTCTGTGTCTTCACATACCATGTATTCACCTTAAAAAAATACATACATACACTATATAACTCAAGCAAGTCAAGCAAAGTCACTTTATGGAGAGAACGATCAAACTAGGTATGCATTTATGCCTGCTGTTCAATCCATTTTAACACTTTAAATTTTGACATACAAGTAACGAAGAAGATAGAACTTTTAGTTTAATTTGTTTTGTGGTACAGTGGTATGATTTATAAATGTAAACACATACCTAGCACTTCCTTGATATCAAAATTCACAGGTAATGACAGCATAGTCTGAGCTGATGCTGAAAAAAAAAATTATTTCAGTGATTTATACTTACTATTGCATTAGTGTAAGTGCCTTGAAACTATATGTATATATATGTATATAAATGAAAAAAATTTCCATAAGGCCACAATTAAAATATTGTTGTTTTGTTGTTGCCGACTCAGTCTTAATACGTTTGAGTCGGTAGGTTGGGAAATTTTTTTTTTTCAATTATAGAAATGTTATTGGTATTCAGGCGTTGTGGGTTTCCAACTGTTGAACAACAACTGCAGTTCGAAATCGGAATTGATTTCCAGTTTTAATTTGTTTTCAAACCTTATTCAATAGTTTTAAACCTTTAATAAACATGTTATAAAAATTGCCGACACCGAATTTTCATATGCACGAATCAAAGCATGACCACCAGCTTCATCTAGCAAATTGGACAGGACATTGTACCTTAAAATTTCTATTTCAAACTGGTATAATTTGTCAGTACATTTTTGCCATTTTAAAACACATTACCATGGAGAGTCATGTCAACAAATTGTGTAATACCGAGTTTACATTACAGTAAAACTCGTTTAGTACGAACACGGATATTGCAAATTCATGGATATAGCGAAGTCATTTTGGATCCCCAGCTATATGAATTTAATGAATTTCTTATACGGTTATAACGAATTACGGATATAGCGAAGTAATTTCAAAGGTCCCAGCGACTTCGTTATAACAGAGTTTTGCTGTACCGCTTTCGACAGCCATTCTTGGATTTGTGATACGCATATCCAACATCACATAGATGCTTTTAAATGAAAACTGTTTGATCAATCAAATGTTTACATGATTCTTTCTCATTTTGTATATTACTCAAACGTACAGACACCTAAATCCGCATAAATATAACAAACAAGATTTGTTTGTAAAACACATATGCCCCCCTCCCCCATATTGGAATTTTTCCAAGTCCAAGGGGCATAACTCTATCAAAATCTGTATACCAAATTTCATTTCAGTGTGTGCAACCTCTGCATAGAAAATGAACGGAAACTGCAAAGTCCAAGGGGCATAATTCTGGCAAAAATGGTGCAGATCTTGACCTAGATGTTCAGCTGATAAATCTGTATACCAAATTTCATTTCAGTATGTGCAAACTGCAAAGGAAAATGAATGGAAACTGCAAATACCGGTAAGTGGAATTTTTCTGAGTCCAAGGGGCATAACTCTGGCAAAAATGGTGCGATTGTACCCAAAACAGAACTTGACCTAGATATTCAGCTGATAAATCTCTATACCAAATTTCATTTCAGTATGTGCAGTGGTTGTGAAGAAAATGAACGGAAACTAAATGGACCGACAGACAGCAGCAAAGCAACATGCCCTCCCTTCTTCGAACGGGGGCATAATAAAAATTATGATCCGTGTCAATTGAAAAAATTCTCCGGACCGCACCGAATAACTTGAGTCGGCCGCCAATGCCAAACAAAGCTAATTTTATTTTTGGCCTAAAGTATGAACAAAACCCTTATGCTTTCAATACAAGATACAACTGATAACATATAGTGGGAAGAGTTACCATCTTGCAGCACTGGGATCTTTCTGACAAAGGGCAGCTGTTTTTGAATGGATCCTTGAAGATCTGGCTCCAGTGTTTTCAATGGAGTCTCTAGATGAAAAAATGTAAATGTATAGAAGAAATCTGATACCAGAGGGAAATAAATGAATTGAATTTGTAGAATGAATGTTTTCAGGCCAACACAGGGCCAAAATAATTAACAATGGTGAATTGTTTGTTAACGTAACATTTCACCAACTTTTATTATTAAATATTACAAAAAAAAAATTCTTTTAAATTTTTTTTTGGTTAACACTTTCTTTTAATTCCTATATATCCTTTCAGCATGTGTCTGGAAACAGGAAAGTAAATGGAAAACAAACAAAACATGAAATTTTTTCGATATTTTGATAATCTAGCTTAAGTTTGAATAGAATTGAGTTCACTTCAGAGTGAACTAAACGGTATGTAACATACTGGTTATCTCTCACTTACGCACGAGATTTGTGGCCCCTGTGCCTTTGGAGTTGGAGTTCCACGGAGAGGGCGCTATCAGATTGTTAGAGAAGTAATTATCTATGGCTTTCTGGGCTCTCTCTTCCACTTCCTTGTCTGGTCTGTACAAATCAAAATATACAGCTGATTCCATTTTTACAAATCATTAACTGGTATATACACATACCCATAGATTTCTTAGATTCAGAGGATAAGAAGGCAATGCATGAAGAGCAATAATATCAGAATGATTTAAATCTGACTGAAAATGCACTGCGTCAATATTTGTACGTATGTCTGGACTTCTCGGTACCGCAAGGCAGCATATGCAGACCTGTGTTATATACCGTGTACGCGAGTACGCTACAACATTACATCAAAGATTCGGGTGTGTCATTATTAGGTTACGCAGATGACCACTCTGCATACGACAGTTTTAATCTGAAGATTTTCGCTGATGAGAAACGTGTAACAACAAATTTAGAAAAAGTATTGGTTACCATCAATGACTGGATGAATCTGAACAAACTAAAACTTAACCCTAGTAAAACTGAATTTGTACTATTTGGCAGTCAACAGATGTTATCTCTATCATCTTCCACTTCCCTTAATGTAGTGGATACGGATGTTAATTCATCTCCTTGTATCAAATATCTTGGATGTTATCTGGACGAAAATTTAACTTTCAAAAAATTTGTCAGTGAAAAATGCAAAACAATTTCATTGAATTTGTACTTGATTAAACAAATTCGCCAATATCTTAGTGATGATTCGTGTAAACAAATTGTACAGTCCCTGGTCACTAGCCATTTAGATTATGCAAATAGTGTCTTGTACGGATTGCCAGAGTGTACCATTAAAAGACTACAGTTGTTGCAAAATCATGCTGCAAAGCTTGTGTTGAAGCTGAGGTCTACGGATAGTTCTACTGAAGCACTCAAACGACTACACTGGCTACCGGTACACTACCGCATTAAATTCAGACTTGCATGCATTGTCTTCAAGTGCATTAACGTCAGTGACAGCCCACAGTATCTTAAAGAAATGCTCAGTTTAAGAACATCATCATATGGCATTCGATCCGTAAATCCTGCAGCGAAAACATTGAACGTCCCGTCCGTAAGACGCAAAACTTTTGCCTCTAGGTCTTTCGCGGTAGCTGGACCTTCTATTTGGAATGAGTTGCCAACGAACGTTCGAATGTTAACTGATTTCTGTATTTTTAAACGACATCTCAAGGCGTTCTACAACACATGTGCTTTTAAATATCATTTAATTGTGAACACTAGTATATTTTATTTAAACAGCCAGTGATTATTTAGACTTTATTTGATATTTTAACATATGCATTGTTTTTTATCATATGTATATATTCTACTGTATGTACAGCGCCAATGATTGCATACTATATGTAAAATTGAGTGCTTTAACAAATTTTAATAATAATAATAATGTAAATTTGACTCACGTTATTTGCTGATACACTGGCATTTCGTCAATGTCTGCAGGATGCAGTTCTGCAATGTGTTCTATTGACCAGCGGAAGGGCTTCTAAAAAAGGGTCGAAAAAATAAACATGATAAATAAATCTAACTGAACCATTTATAGGTCATATAAAATATTTATATTAAAATAAAATTTGCTTTTACATGTTTAATGGGTAATTTTTTTAAACTTATGAATTTTTCTTTTAAATTAAATCAGCATTGCCAACATCATAAGGTGAAGAAAAATTGTGGTGTTAAGAGTTCCTTAGCCTCTGCCACTGAAGATCTATTCTATGGCTTGTTTGTAAGTGGATTTTACCATTGTGTTTATAAAAAATGAATCAGATTCCATGTTTGCTTAAAATGGACAATGAAAATGGACAAGCCAGCACTATAAAGACTTGGCAGCTCTTCATGTACATATTAGCAATTTGATACTTTACTGTGTAATGAATCTAAAGTAACAAGAGATGTTTTGTAAAACACTTATGCCCCCTCCCCCAAATAACTGTAATTTTTCTTAGTCCAAGGGACATAACTCTATCAAAAATGGCTCAATCGTACCCAAAACAGAATATAACCTAGACAATCTTATAAAAAAAAATCGGTATACCAAATTTCATTTCAGTATGCAACCTCTGCAAAGAAAATGAACAGAAATTGATGGTGGACCGAAAGACAGACAGACCGACAGGCAGCAGCAATATGCCCTGCCTTCTTCCAAGGGGGGAATAACAATGTAACACACGATGAGCTGCCTTTATTGCTTTACAATACTCACCTATTTCATTGTAAGGCATTGTAAGAGATTGTAAGAGATTGTAAGATGACATAATCTGACCTTTTCATCTGTGGAGGGCGTGGATTGTACGGTAAACACCCCCGGACTCATAAATACTGGACCGTCAAGCTGCTCCAGGAGGGCCGCATCAAACGGGTTGATTACCCCCTGCTTCCTTGCGGACGACATTCCTACAGGAGGCCGAGAGCCTATCAAATAAAGAGAAGAGATAATATCACATTTCTTTAACCTATAATTTTCTCAAATTAAATATACCCATCATAAAACTTTTTACCAGTTCCTTACATATTTTTTAGCTTAATTGCCCCCCCCCCAAATTAAATGGTTCAGTAGCAATCTGATTTTTTTCTAAACAGAGACTACAAAACTCAAAACTGTCTTGTCCCTATTAGTCTGTGGAATTTACTCTACACATGTTACTTCATTCCTACTTCTTGTCCCTCCCTACCTTGAGGTGTCTTGTGAGCAGCAGGACTTCCATTATCTTTTGTGATGGGGGTCTTGAACACTGGGCGGGGGCTGATGCCTGCAGGTGTTGCTGACATAGGTGTGAAGGAGTGGGGGTCATGTGTATAGGGACTAGATAGTACTGATCTCAAAAACAGCTCATTTCTGGATCCACCACCTGGCATCTTATGACTAGGACTTGGACTAAAAAGACAAAGAACTTAATTTAGAATAAAGTTATAAACTCTGGAAATTTCCAACCATAGGTCAGTCTTCCGACTTTGCATTCTCTTGATATAAAAAATTCGAGTGCCACCCAATTTCTACTCCAAAAATTATTATTATTTCCCTCAATTAGTAAATGTTAATGAAAATCAAAGCTTGTGTGACATATCTTTTTACTACCTTCTCTACTAGTGAGATATACATGAAAAAAATATCCCACAGAAAATACCTTGACATGTGAGGATGCACATATCCAATTTTCTTGCCATGAGCCCCTGGTGTGAAGATTTTGGGTGCATATTTTGGACTTGCTGCATAGTCTTTTGGGGTTCCGAAAGGGATCTTTAGCTTTCCCTCCTCAGGGTCATTTTCCTCATCTGACAAAATTGGAGACGGCAACTTTAAAGGAGAACCTTCGTCCATTTTCGCAAATGATATCTCCCTTGATATCACCTAAATCAATTTGCACTAGATCATCTTAGGACTGAAAAAAAATTTAACAGGTGTTATGATTACATATATGTATTTTCATCATTATATACAACCATAAAGGCTACAATGAGATTATTCTCTAACAAATGTTAGAATATTTATCATGTTTATATTATTACATTATTTTAGGGCAGAAGAGTAAAGCTCTATTCATATAATTTGCAGTACATTTATTGAACATAGGCAGAACTATTGTGACAAACTTGGGTATGTGAAAGGAATTTTTGATGTTGTGTAATAAAAATTTATATTGTACTGGTAACCATTGTACAGGCTAGTGTGGAAATGCTATATGATAAATTTGAAGATATTATGAGTAGGTGCATAAATCATTCAATGCAAGATAATCTTGTAGCATTAAGCTATCACGTAGTTCTGACATGAATCTTACTGATACAATAGTTAATTTTCAGGGCCAGCCGCCAATGGTGGCTTAAGAAGGGGAACCTCCATCATTTGTGTACAACTGGCAAAATATACTTAAGATTTAATAAATCTTTTTTTCTTTTATTTTTTGTGTGTGGCAGTGGGGACTTAATCTCGGTGTAGATTTTGCTAGGCTAGATATTTGGTCTGACGCCCACAATATTTAGCCCAGCAGAATCTCCGTCGAAATTAGCAGGGCCCTATCACGACCTCAACTCCCCCCCCCCTTTCAAATTCAAGATTCCTGGATACGCCATTGAGGGCTTCGGCTGATATCATATATGATGTTTTCAAGCATGTTTTTCTCTTCAAAACAATTATTTCATCTTTGTTTAATCAATATTGCCGTTTGATAGATGTAGCCATGTAAAAATGACAATACACACAAATATGCCAAAAATAAACTTGTATTCCACACTTGCTCATTCATCCTACAACCTGTTTGGTTAACCATAATCACTCTAACCATTTTCAGCTACAACCAAGACTCACATGTTGCATCTATAACACTCGAACATCTGATCATCAGTGTATTATTGTCACAATAGCCCTTGTCGTAACATGTCCAAAATTAAACTATTTTTAATACCCGCCATTTATTTCAGTTAAATCGTTCTCAAAATTATTCGTATCAATGCTTGCATCTTTTTACAAATGGGTTGGCGAAAGGTTTTCAAATTCAAGTAGCTTCCAACTTAATAGTAATGGTTGTAGGAAGAAATGATTATAATGAAATTAAATTAGAAATTAAATCATGAACCATAAAGTAATTCGGTTAATTTTTTCTGCCAGACTTTCAACTTGTGAAAATAATGTACATCATAAAACACCGTCAGGTCATTATTTATCATTTTGAGTGCCAAGTATCGCATTCCATTATTTCTTTATTTAGAGAGCTATGGACCGGCATCTTTGGATTTTTTCTTCTGAAAATCTGCTATATTCTCTCATTTAATGATACTCAGGTTAGCTTTTAGATCTATTCAATAAATTTTAATCATTCTAACAACTTTTCAACCTCCAAAGTGCTTAGAGATGTTAAATAAGGCAAAATGATAGATATTTTAAAAATAAATATTTTTGAATTTACATTGTCCGTCTATGACTATCTGTTTGTATATGTAGCTATGTCTGGACCATATATTATATATAGGTAATCTGAGGTTGATATTGCTGAAAAGAAAATAAAAATTCCTCATAAGGACTATTTCCAGTTTAGCTTGGACTTTCAGTAAGGCGTGACATTCTCGACGTTACAAAATTAATTAGCTTCAGGAATTTACACAGCTTCCCTTCACTAGTGCATCGAATAACCAATAACATTGTCTCGTCCGGCAAAGGGGTGGAGCTTAAGTCGTCTCATCGTTGTCAACAGCAATTTAAAGTTCCTGATGTTATTAATTTCTTAACCAATGAGAATCTATTCGCCATTTGACAGACGCTAATTACGTAGCGCCGAGAATGCCACGCCTTACTAAAAGTCCAAGCTTATCTTGGAATGGTTCTAAATTGATAACGCTTGTTGAATGTAATGTCTAAAAAAAACTGTTGGAATTCCAATGTGCTCTGGTGTGTTTCCTTATAAATGGATGTTGAAATAAATTTTCTATTCGAAGCGGGATACTTCCAGAGAAGGTGATATTACAGGGAATTCAGTAACCTCGTTTAAAGTCAGCATTTAAAAAATTCTATGGACGTTATAATGAAATTGCAGGCGCATATCAAGGATTTTTTTTCAGGGGGGGGGGGGTGTTCAAGTCAAAACAATATTCCAATCTAGAAATTTCTTGGCCAAAAAAGTTAACTCCTTTTAATTCTATTTCGTGAAGGGGGGGGGGGGTCATTTTAAAGCTCCATATACCAACTTTCACAGATCCACGGTTTCCAAGAGGGCTCCGCGTTTTCTAGAGGGTGGGGTCCAAGGTCACTTTTATTTGGTTAAGTATATACATATAATAATTACTCTGCAATTTTCAGGGGGTCCAGACCCCCACCCTCTAAATCTGCGCATGTATTGTAAACAAGAAAAATGTCAATAGGACATGAATGCCCCGCCGAGGGTATACAGATTAGTAATGCAACATGAAAATTTGCATTCGTGATGAGAATATCTTAAATAGTATCTTTAAAATGAAATCTATAGTTCGAAATACATGATAAATTCTCACCAAATTATGCTTTCTTTAAACTAAGCAAAAAACAAATTTAAGAAAAGTGAGGTCAAGGTCACAGGAAAGTTTAAGGTCAAACATTGTTGATGCAGTTGAACAGCTCTCACTAATGTAAAATATCAGCATATGAAGTTTGAAAAAAAAATATTTGTTAGGTTTATCGAAAATTGAGCAAAATACCAATTTAAGAAAAATGAAATCAAGGTCAAGGTTAAAAATGTTGATGCAGTTGACAGTGTACATTAGTATGTATAATTTAATGCGATTCTTTTTTTTCTTTTCTTTTTTTTCCCCACCTTAGATAACAAAAGAAATTAATGTAACTAATAAGGATTTTTTTTCATCATTGTAAATTATTGGCAATTCTTAACATTTGTAACCTTGACCTTGGGAAGGACTTATATAGGCCATGCCTGATGTCCAATCCAATTATGTAATCTTACTTACATAATAAAATATTGATTAAATAAATAAACATTAATATGTAGAAGCATATGAAGTTTAACAAAAATACTTGAATAGTTTCATTACAACTGAACTAAACACAAATTGAGAAAGGTCAAGATAAAAAAAAATGTTGATGAAGTTGAAAAGCTTACATAAGCATATATGAAGTTTGATATAATTTAAGAAAAGTGAAGTCAAAGTCAAAGAAAAGGTCAAAAATGTTAAAGCAGTGAATAGCTTTCATCAGTATGTATCAGTATACTTATATGAAGTTTAATTTTAAAAAAAAAATACTTGAATGGTTTCTTTAAAACTGAGCTTAAAACTAATGTAAGTAAAATGAAGTCAAGGTCAAGTGAAAGATCGAGATAACAATATGATATAATCTATGGGGGAAAAATGTCCAATAAGCCCTGGGTGTTCCTGTCCACAAGTACCCGTGAACACTATAAAATATATCTGTGAAGTATGCGAAGTATGAACTCCCAATGTGTTTCCGTAAGAAATTGTAGACCAGACCTGATCGCTGTGCTTATGCTTCACTTTTTTACATTAAAGGTTCAAGAAAAAGAAAGCTCACATTTAAATTTGTTTGTTTTATTTATTTACAACACCATACATTAACTAAAACAACAGCCATCCTGAAAAAGAAGAGTAGCTTCCCTCTACTTTCCCGCGCAAACGTCGTACTTTGACGGTATCTCCCACGGATAGACCGTAAATAAACACCCCCGTGCTGCTGTCATATTCGTCTCCTTTGGTCTCCTCTCCATATGTTTTTGGACCACTAATCTCAGAACCTCCCCTTCTCTGAATTATCAGCTGTGTTTCTAGTTCAGCCCCGTTTGTCTCGACCGTCCACGTGAACAGGTAGGTTCCGCTTACACTGCATGTGAAAATCCCATTCAAACGATTATAGTCATGATGCGTGTCTACTAACACGTCACTGAATGGGACAACGTCATTTGAACTATCTGACGTGAGTACCGCGGTAAATGCGGGTGTTGATACGTCTGAAATGGAATAAAGATGGAACATTTTCATGCATTTTTAAATCCCTGCAAAGGACAAGATAGCATAACGGCCGAATCTGGCCCCTTATTTGATCTAAAAATCAGAACACTGGTAAAATTGTGATAGTTTGTGGTTAAGAGGTTAAAATGATGTTTTCTTTACAATAAGCACTAATTTAGATTCAAAGCTTACATGGAAGCCACTAGAGGGTGCAGAAGTAGGACATTTTCCAGAATGTCCTTAATTCTGGTGAAATTTCATCGTATTTGAGAGACTTTTCTCTTCGGAAAACATAGAGCACAATCTCATAACCATAATTATGTACGTACAAGAACATTTCGTATATTTCACCCCCTATCTAAAAAAAACATATCATACTTCCAATTTTATATCCCGAAAACGCCGTAGTGCCCCTGTAGCCCACACATTTGCGGCCTCCTACATTAACATTGTCGTGAGCATTGAGGTTAAATACAGCCAGCGTCGCTCCGGAATCGGTATGTCCGCTCTCTGAATCAGGAAAGGTCTAAGAAGATAGGAAAAACGCAATGTACGATACAAACTAGACATGAACCATATCAAGACGGTGGCATCCTCAGCAAATAACAATTTGGCATCCTCAGCAAATAATTATAATTACTGTAAATGTATTATATTTGGCGTGTACGATATTTGGCGGAAATTCATTTTTCAGCAAGCGAAGTTAGCGTAGATTTGTTTTAGCGCTATCTGAATGTGCTAGATGTAAATATAAAATATACAAGTTATTTAAGAAACGAATTAAATAGCGATCCAAGTTACACTATATAACCTGGGTTGGAGCAGTTTACAGCAGTTTACTTGAAGTATGTAAGGAAATTTACATTCAATTTGCACCAAAGGTGTTTTTTTTCAAACTGTAGCTCGGAGGAGGAGGTGATAACAGACAAGAGGGCCTGTTTGTCATGAATATAACAAACTCACGTTAAGTTTTTGTGCTCCGTTGACTTTGATTTGTAAGTCGTCGTACTGAGCACTCGTCTGTTGTCCCGTGACACCAAAAACATATAAACCGCGACTATCTGCAACAAACGATTGGTTGCTGGTGTGGTAACTCCCCCGGTTATCAAAGATGACGCTGTTAAACGGAATTGTTGTTGAACTATAAGTTGAGTGGTTAAGAGCCGCCGTAAATGCATCGATATTTCCTGCAATAGTTATAAATGGAACGTAATTAGCAACTGGAATAAAACAAATATGACATAATTGCAAATCAAACTAAACCACATGAGTTAGGTGGAGATGACAAACTGTGATCAAATCGCATAATGGAACGTGAAACGTGAACAGGACAAAAACGCGGATCCCCGGCAAAGGATGGGATCGGGTGACTATGAGGATTCTGGAAGTAAATCACTTGTCGTCCTGTCACACCCGCTGTGGTCCCTCTAATGACAAGCAAAATGGGGCAAACCATGATAAAAATTTATATCAAAACAATGGCCAAACAATTCAGTCCGAGTATGACATAACGATATGTTTTGTTCACAACCAAGGCCGTTATGACAACCACAACATTTTATATAAGTTGTAGTGAACCCAATGAAATCAACTCATTTGTCAGTACCCTATCGGTATAAATGTTGCCCATTCCAATTTCGATCAGACTAGCCAGCTACAGGCCTGGCCTAGGGGCCATAAAATAAAGCACCATTTTCATATAAAATAACCACAGCATAATATAATAGAGCACCATCTTCAAATAAAATAACCACAGCATAATATAATAAAGCACCACCTTGAAAAAATTATTCAAGGTCAAAGGTAGGTAGATAATACAATTGATCCCATGCTTCTATGTCTTATAGTTTTTAAGTTATAAGGTTTAATAGTAAGTACAAATAAAATATCAGATCCTTTCGCACTTGTACAATGAAGTTATGCACAGCATAATATACAAAGGGCAATAACTAAAGCACCATCTTCTCTTTGCTTATGAAATGACTTCTAGTTTTGAAAATTTTTAATTATAACCTATAACAAGGGGTTTACGAATCCTTTCTAATATAAAGGTCCTCCCAAGCAGCACATTGGTGAAGGTTTCATACCTCTACGGTTTACGGTTTTGGAGGAGTAGTCAAGCATTTCTTGCGTAAACGGCAATAACTTTGCTCTGGAATAATATTGAACTATGATTTTCGATAAGTCTTGCGTTTCAAAACATAAATAAAATGATAATAAACAGAAGCATTTGTGTTCACATGGAAAGAGGCTAATAAAGCACCACCTTCATATAAAATAACCACAGCATAATATAATAAAGCACCATCTTCTCATGAAATATAAGGCAGCTGTTATTGTTGATGTTTACGATTCACTGGGTGCATTCAATCGTTAAAGTCTACTCACCACAACTGCACGGACTAACAATATACTGTGTGTATGTTTTGCTTTCGAACATTTCTACTCTGAATTTTTTGGATTATAGTTTTAATATTTTTTATTAATGCACAACAAGATTGACATTTATCCTAAGTATTAAGAATAAAAAGTTAAAATTTGTGAAAGTGCAAGAATGTGTCAATCAAACCCATCCAAAAATTTAAAGTTTCAATAACTTTTAGAAGAAATAAGATTTTTAATATATTTTCGTGTGAAATGATATTACAATATATGTCATGATATTATACAGAAAATATTAATTTCATATTAAAATTTTGTTTCGATGATGATAATTTTTCACAAGAAATTAAAACTATAATTTGAATGCGAACAATTTCAGCATACCATGCGGTGCAGAATTTGACAGAAATCGTCACTCAGCTTGACAATTTTCTTGATCCTTGTCAGACCTAAAAATCAATGGCTGATTCCTTCAGCGGTAATTAGTGTAACAAGTTTGAAGTCTGTCAGGCCAAGGATATTCAATGGAATAATAGTCATTATAGTTCCATTGAGAGCTATTTTTCTCCTCAGAGGGTCGATGAACCTAAAGGTTAATGTGCATTTTTGCCCCCCCCCTTTCGCGAAAGCGGAGGGACATTACATCTCATTCTCTGTCCGTCAGTTAGTCTGACTGTCACGGTATGTCACTAAAACTTTAAATTTAACTTTTGAATGAGAAAAGATAGGACTTTCACATTTCAAATGTACATTACTTGTGAAAGACCTTTTCAAGTATACTATGATGTTTGACCCTGTGACCTTGAAGTTTGACCTACTTTTCAAAAAATTTAACCTTGGTTGTAACTTTTGAATGAGAAGAGACCGGGCTTATTTCACATGTATATTACATCTATACCTGTGACAAGACCTTTCTCAATACAATATGATTTTTGATCCCGTGACCTTGTAGTTTTGAATTATTTTTCAAAAATGTTATCTTTCATTTTAACCTTTGATAGAGAAGAGATAGGACTTTCATATTTGACATGCTTATTGCCTGTAACAAGATGTTTCCGAACATGCTATAATTTTACCCCGTTGACCTTCATGTTTGGTCAATTCTTTTTAATCAACTTAATTTTGTGATTACTTTGCAATGGAATATGATAGGGTATAAATATTTGACACAATATGACATATATAATGGCATCCCATCTACTATGACACCGAAAGCAGGGGACCACAATTCTTTGAATTTGCGTGTTATTCATACATATTTAATATTTATTTGCAATTTATCCGGCTAAATTAAAAAATAAAGTTTCTGAAAACTGAATTTACTTACTATCTATTGGGCTATCGTAAATTTTCCAGCCCGCAAAAAAACTATCAATGCCTCTGCTTCCAGAAAATTGGTGAACATTTATTTTGTCGTCTTTATTCAAACGAAGGACTGCAAATGAAGTGCTCGAATCGTCCACCACTGAAGCCTTAGGATCAGTTATCGCTGCGACACCTACCGGGTAACCATTTTTCATCAAACTGGTGTCCACCCCACTTCCGTGGGAAGCTATGCCCCATGCAAACATATATAAGCCTGCTTGGGGACACAAGAATACCCCCGTGCTACTGACATATCCACCCCCAATATTAATGGCGGTTTGGTCGAAGGTCAAGTCCCTCGATCCCGATACACTGTGATTGTTTTGTGTGAAGAAAGCAACGTGGTAAGAGGTTGGAGGGGCCGAGGATGATGATGACGTCACTGTACCAGGAGTGGTGGAGCCACCAGCTGAATTAACTAGGAATTAAAAAAAACTAATGTTAAATATGATTATCAATAAAAATAGATGGCTATTAATTCAAGAGAAATTTAAACATTAGGATTGCTGTACAAGACTGCATATAGACAAATTCTACCCGACTCTCCCCCCTAAATATAGTCGTGTGCTAATATTGTTTCCTGTAGTCATAATTTATTTAACTTACCCATTGTTTTTACAGTTTCTTATTATTAAGGTCTTCAACTCCCCATCCTTATTGTTATTCGTCTGTTTTTTATTATTATTATTATTATTTTTCTTTTTTCATAGTAGCTATCTCAGCTGTGCGTGGACGGATCTGAAAGATATTTACAGGGAGGATGCATCATGAGAATATCTCCAGACGTGTTTTTCATTTTTTCGAAATTCCCTTCAGTATTTTTGGGGATTTTTGTGTTTTTTAAAAGGCATTTTGTCCAGCAGTTTTCTTAGAACGCCTAAAGATATGATATATATATATATATATATATATATATATATATTTTTCGTCCTATTACTTCCGGTCGCAAACGGAAGTGAATTCGAAAAGTCCCATTTCTCAACTTTTTTGTTTTTCAATATTTTTCTTTAGGATTTACAGGGTTTATAGTGTGTCTTATGAGAACTCTAAATATGTGTTCAGTATCTTGATGCGTGCATCTATTGAAAAGATATGACCGAACAAAACTTTGTCGCACTGTCGGGGGTTCGAATCCCGGCGGGGGCGTTCCAAAAATTTTTTCTTTGTTTATGTCTTTTTTTAGTTGCAAATGACTTTAATCTCTTTTAAAACACGGATGGAATATATTGCCAATTTTTAAAAGCTATTTTTGAGTTATTTTGAGGAATACCTGTAATTATCATGATGTATGTTGAGAGACTACTGTGAATAAACGTTAACAAAAAATACATTCTGAAATCTATTTCATAGGATGACGCAGCATAGAACATCTATCGGTCGGAAGACCGCTTGTTGCTTTAGCAACAAGAACACATCTAGTTATTTTTCTTCTTCTTCCTGGGTTCTTTTTTGTTATCTCCAAATGTTCATAATTAATAAAACCTTTTTGGGGTCAGTAGGCATGTTATGTAGATTTGCGGAACGAAGGTCATTTTGCGCGCACGTGCTCAAGAGCGTGCACGTGCAAATTGAAATGACCGATTTAATTGTATAGGCGTTATTTTTTAATTTTTTGATGAAATGCTTTGAAACTTATGTATAAGGATATATTGTGCATAGATAATATCACATGATCAAAATAGAAATCCACGCGCATGCACGTGCGCTTCGCTTACTGGCTGAAACAAAGTTCAATATCTTTCTTGTTTTTTGACGAAATCCTTTGAAATTTTGAACATATATATCCTACAACATGATATATAGCAATTATCATGAAAACACGTGCATCACTGCCTGCAATCTGATTGGCTTAATTTAAATAGTATAACTCCCTTGGTTTTCAACAAACAGGATGGGATTTTTGGATAGATATAATGGACTACTACAAGAGGTATGGTCACTGGCACATGCATACACGTGCGTACGTGTGCTGCAATCTGATTGGCTGAAACTTTAAACAGCTATAACTCCCTTGGTTTTCAACCAAACGGGATGGGATTTAAAACATAGAAGATGTAATGGACTCCTACAAAAGGTATGGTCACCATGCTCATATGCACGTGCGTGCACGTGAAATGGAAAATACAAAAATACACTTGAAAAAAATTTTTTAATACTTTTGATTAAAGGCTTCAAATTTAATATCAAAATATATTAAAAGTGATATGGTTATTACGCACAGGCTTTCACATGCGCATGCGTGCAATGCTGAAATTTGAATGAAAAGAAAGTTGGTACACTTCTGTAAAAATCAGTTAAAGTCTATATCAAGTTTGAGCTTAGTTAATGAAGCTTACAGTGAATAAGCACCAAAAGGGAGTTGGGGAAGGTATAAATTTAAAGCAGACAATTTTCATTTAAATTACCCAAGGTTATTGCACAAATCCCCATCACAACACTTTTGATAGGTAGCTCTTTTGTGAATTCTGGACTAGAGAGTCGCACGTCTGTAAATGTACAAAATAACCATATCACTTTAAAAATTATATATATATATATATATATACGCCCTATCATTTGTCACGCAAAAGTAATCAACAAAGTTAATTTTTTTGAAAATTATGTCAAACATGAAGGCCAGGAATCTTATAGCATGCTGAAACATCTTGCTACAGACACTGCTCAAAATTTATGAATGCTATCTCTTCAAAATTCAAGGTCAGGTTTAATGGACATAAATAATGTATTAATGCCAACCTCAAGGTCATATTGTAAAATTGATAACATTATAAAAATCTTGTACATATCATACACGTGTGTAAAATATAAAGCTCTACCTTTTATACTGTAAAAGTTATGGTGAATTTAAAAATGATTGATTTTTTGAAAAGTATTTTCAAAAGTCACGGGGTAAAAAATCACAGGTAATGAAATATGATGTCTGACTCCTGTAGTGTCAATCTACTTGTGAAATACCGCTGACCGAATACAGTTCTCTCCTCTACCAGACATTTCTGAAGTAGGAACGTGGATGACAATGAGGAGTAACAACATTTATTACACACTTAGTAATAAATACAGGTTTTTTGCATATGCGATATGGCTGTATTAATAGCTAGTATCAAGGTCTGATATGGATTTGCGGGGCTGATATCCGTATCAGTATATTTAGAAAATCCATGTCAGCCCTGCATGACACGTGTGTCAATATCAAACCCTTAGTAAATTAAACCACAAAACAGTACTTGTATCATAAGTTTTTGGTGAATTTAAAGTTAATTTTAACTTTTTGAAAATAAGGTTTCTTTGATAATGTAATACAAATTTTCAAATGACGGATCAAGTGCATTGAAATAGAAGTAGAAACAAACCCAAATCTGATGAATTAGACTATGTACATGTATGTAACTGTATGATTATTTACTTACTTTCTTCTCAACTGAATGTGTTCTGTATTTTATTACTAAGTTGTGAAAATATAATAAAACATACCCTTTTCCAATACATCCTGTTCTCTCCTCTACCAATACATTTCTCTGATATTGGAACGTGGATGACAATGTGATATGGAAAAGGGTAACAACTCTATGTAACACATTTGTCACCTTATTAGTCCCCTTGATAGTTGTGAGGGGTACTTCGATCGCTTTTATGATCTTAAAAATCTGTTGCTTGACTAACCTCATTTGCACTACAAGGTATAATCTTATGACAATCGGCAGGGGAGTGAACATCGCGACAATCATAACACAATGGTCCTCTGGAGACGGGGTATCCTAGAAAATCAGACAAGGCCTGGTTATCACAGGTTAAAGTATCAACTAAAGATTTAAAAGTCAGGGGCTTTCTCCTTACCAATGTTAAGAATGCAATTCCATCTGTGTGAAATATTCTCGAGAGGGACGTTAAATAACAAAAACATTCAAACAAGCAAACACATAATGTGTCAGAATTATGCGGCATGTTTCAATCAATGCTGTGTTGAATCCTTTCCTTGAATTTACCAGTAAACCCGGGGGGTGTTAATCTGCTAACCTCTCACATTACCCCTGAATGATTTATTTTTGCCTTATTTGGTAGTACATGTGCAAGGACAGAAGACATGAAGGCATGACCATTGATTGACTCGGTGGAGTCAGGAAGAGATGTCGACGATTAAGACGACCAGATTTTAAAGGTTTCATTAAAAACACACAATTTTGTGATTCTTATTTGATCTAGATGTAAAGTTATAGTAAGCCTGATGCAAAATGCAATATAATTTCAATGCAGATAAGAAAAGTGTTTAATTTTTATATATGGTAACTGTATGAAGATGATACTCATATCTGGGGGACGCAATATTCCTGTGATTTGTCAGTACTGGAAAGGTTGGAATACTACTCGTTTAACCACTAATTTAACAAAAGCATTTGTGGACCTCCCCCCCCCCCCCCCCCCCTTTTTTTTTGGAAAGCGATTATCAACCCTAGGGCTTATTCGACATTTTTTCCACATATTATATTTATTTATATTTAACACTTATTTATCATGTACATGTATACCATAGGAAAAATTGAGAAAAATATGAAGAAATTCCAACAAGTCCCATGGTTAAAATCGACGGCGAAAGGGGGGTGTCCACAAGTACCCGTGACCCGAAATAATTGTTATTAATTTATTGTAACTCACCGGCTGCCCCACACCCCTCGCTGTTACAAAGATCCCCCACACAGCAGTCTGTACACAAAAGCTGACCCGGGATGTGAGAGGATCCGTCACGTTTAGGGTGAATTACTGTCCTGTTTACAGTTTTAGTACAATCCTGAAATGGTTTACCAATATATTTCTTATTTCTTATCAGTATATATATATAGTTACCATATAGTATTGTGCACTTTTTGTTTTATCAAAGCATTATATTTGTTAAATAAGAATTATAAATATTATGTGATTTTTTACTCTTGAAATTGTTTAATTACGTGTATTTTTGTGATGGAACCCTTTAGATCCACACAAGTATAACACTGACTAATCCTTACCAGAGACGACATACAGCCTGTCCAGTAGCTCATATCGCCATTATCAGATCGGTACAGCCGTACTCCACATACCTACATAAATATTTCAGAGGCATATAAGGCGCCAAATTCACATTAACTCAAATACAATCATTGAAGATATCTTCTACATTTGTAACATTGCTCTCATCAAATGAATTAACTTTGAATTACTGTTTGTATCAATTAGTACAATTTACAGTCATCCTTGGACTTTCAGTAAGGCATGGCATTCGCGACCTATAATACGTAACGTCACTCAAATGGCGAATACATGTATATAGATTCTCATTGGTTAAGAAATTAATAACAATAGCAACTTTAAATTGTTGTTGACAACGATCAGACGACTTAAACCCCACCTCTTTGCCGTACGAAACGCTGTCATTGGATTATTGCTACACTTGTTGACATTCGCCCGGATTTCTATTCCTTGTATATTTCAACAGTGAATAAAAGGCTGTGTAAATTTCAGACGCTTTATAATTATGCAACGTCGAGAACACCACTCCTTATTCAGAGTCCAAGGATAACAGAGAATTGCACTAACTCTGTGAGAGCAACATTTCAGTTGCTAGGCTCTTTAAGATATTAACATCTATATTTAGTACATGTGTGCTTCCCGTTTCTTTCCGAAAGATGTTTTTTAAAGAATGTGCACTTTTAGATTGAAAACTGAAGTATATGGAAGTTGGACCAGCCATGCGATACCTCACTTTACACCATTTCTTACCTCTCCTTTGTTGCATACTTCTATCCTGTTACACAAACGCGGCTCAAAGGTATCAGAACACCTTAAACATTGTAGAGCTTAAATAGAATAAAACGTATCAGAACACCTTAAACGTTGTAGAGCTTCAACAAAAAATACTGTAAATATCAGAACACCTTAAGTATTGTAGAGCTTTAATAGAAAAAAACGTATAAAAACACCTTAAACATTGCAGAGCTTCAACGAAATAAAGACATCGGAACATGTTAAAAATTGTAGTGATTCAACGGGGAAAAACATATCAGAACATCTTAAACATTGTAGAGCTTCAACAAAAAGGGTATTTGAACATCTTTTATAGTACCAGGGCTTCAGAAAAAATAAAATATCAACCCGTGAACATTTCGGGGCTTCAAAAAAATTACCAAAACATCGTAAACATTACAAAGCTTCAACGATGAAAAAATATATCATAACATATTAAAAACATGGCAGGGCTTCGACGGAAAAAAGTTTACCTATCAGAACACTATAAACATTGCAGGATTTCAACCGCGAAAATGTAAATCATATCCCAGAGCATTTTATACAACCTGCTATCACAAACGGTTATATTTCAATTTGTTCTGAAAAATTTGTAAAATCAAACATTTCGTCATTTTAAAAACGCACTGATACTATAAATAGTAATTTATACTGAACCACAGAAAGTTACAAATAGTTCTGAATCGAGTCAGAGTATGATCAACTTACCTCCAAACGACTTTTGCAGGGAGGAGAGAAGTAATATAGCTAAAAGTTCAATAAAGTATGAATATTAGGCTTACCGATCTAAAAAGAAAACATCAATTTTGAAACTAGAAAATCCTAATGAAAAGTACTCACTGATCAGAGGGAGATACATAACGTTTTATTAGGTAATGTTTGGGGAACTATATAGAGCTATACCTTAAATTTCAATGGTAGAAGACAGAGATAAGATTGTACGATATTTTGCAATTCTTTAGGTGTGCGGGCACTGAGAAAGTTTTGAAATATACAAGATTGTTCGAAGATAACAATCGAGATTAAAATGTTCACCTTTTCGAACTGAACCGAGTTTACCTAACACTGTTTCGAATCATTAAAGGATATTCACTTGGAATTATAAAGACTTCAAACACTCATAAATAAATATTACTGGTAAACACTAAAAAAAAAAACTCTAATGTATTCCCTGCATTATTGATGTAACGGTCTCTAGTACTACTAGTAGAATCATTCTGCGAACAAGTTAATATTAATAAAAATGGCGGACTCGGGAAAGCGAAAACCTTCAGCGTCCAAGGAAACGTTGGAAAGTATGCCTATTTATATTTTCTCATGTAAAAAATTAAAAAGAATTGATCAGTCATTAGACATTATGTTGACACATAACACCATTCACCATTGTTTTAAAAATATTCACGAATATTCACGGGTACCTGGAAAATCACTATATTTAGCTATATAGATTAATTTACCTATATAGCTTTATTTAAGAAATAAATAACAAGTTTATAAACTTCAATGGGAATTGAAGTTTCTGTTTTATGTCACGTGATCAAATCCTGTGAAGGCCGAAGGCCTTCTCAAAAAGATTTGATTTAAAAACAACCTACTTCAATTCCCATTGAAGTTTATAAACTTGTTATTTATTACTTATATATACATTTGAGACAGACAATTGAATATTTTCGAATTTAAATTATTGCACTAACCGTCCGTCGTAGATTTTGAAAAATGACGCAAGGTGTAAATCGGCTTGCATGGCGGTTACGCTTCAAATTCATTAGACTAAGGAATCTATTTCGAAGGGAATATTTTGTGAAAGGCTACTTGTGATCAGTAATAGTGAACAGATTGTTGTCTGGGAATATTTTATTCGTGAAAATGATAATCGATGCTGAAAAGACACAAGAAACACGTCTGAAGTTTGATGATAAAAAGTTAGAGGAATTTCGGTCGCTGTAAAGGGATGGATGGGTCAGCCGAGGATTGCCGATTGTGGATCCGATGGACTGAGACACTTGTCCGAGCCAGTTAATTTGCAATTTGATCAAAAATATTCTACGGTTTCAGTAACTAAAGGCATACTTATCGTAAAACACTGATAAACACGGAGACACTGGCGACAGCTTTATATTGAACTACGAAAACACCGATTGTTTGGCAGCTGTTCATGACATGATTGCAAAGATATTTTCCAACAGATTTACACATTTATCGTGAGTAAAATTTAAAGATAAAATAAAAGTTTATCATGAAAATTAAACCAAAGGTCTATCCAAAAAATAAGGATGAACGTTAGAGACTGTGCAGCTGACAAAAGTGAAGAAAAATGTAAACAAATGCTAGGCTCCTAGTTTTCTCTATGTACACAGGTTGAATAGATAGCCCAAAAACTGTATGAAATACTTGTTTACATTTAAAATAAAATAATTATCATTTTACTTGCTTATTTTATTCATTTTTATACATGAAAAGCAAGAAGAGCAGGTCATTTTATAATTTATGTACCAGTAGATATTATTGCGCCATGTGATTTTGTCACGTATTGACCTCTGACCTCTGACAAACTTCATACAGAATTGAAAATATTTTCTCTCTGTATGTTTATATAATGGAGAGATACCACAAATGTATATATTTACCTATATAATATAGCTTTATTTAGCTATTTTAGAATAAGTTTCTGTTTTATGAAAAGCAGACAAATTATGGCTGATATTTTTTTTAAAAAAGGTTTGTTAAAATTTAAAAACAACCTAGGGCATACATTGCCTCTCTTAAACACTTTTTAACCTTTTTAATGCATCTCTATTGTTTGGATAGCTTTCCCCCACTGGAAGTGCGATGAGGCATGACTAAGTGTGATTGCCTTGCATTGTGCTGAATTATTACCAATCAATTATCTTGTTGACCAAAACTGCTTTTCTTTGTTATACAGGTCAAACCACTAGATATAATGATGTATAATTTTTCATTTCTATGCTCACATTCACAAAATTTGCTTTATGAAGACTTATATCAACTTATAATACATTGGCCTAATCCATTGTTCAAAGAGACATAGGTGCTATCGTGTCGATAAAACATTGAGTTTTTTTCACGTGATATACGTGTACATAGTTTTAGCAGGTATTATATAAGTCCTTGGTTTTAGACAGTAGGAGAAGGTGTGCAATTATTATTTAACCCCTCAATATTATCAGAAAGTGTTTTATGTACATGCAAACGTCAAAGCGTTTGTATGGTATTGGAAGCAACTATTTATCATCTAAAACACCTCTAATATTAAATGTGAGCATGGAGCAATGTCTGTAGAAAATAATCTTTCGATTTCGGTCTTATAAAGTTAACAAGAAGCTCTACAGTTTTTGTGGTGACGAGTTAAATATTGTGCAGTAAACTGACGAAAACCATGTGTTGCCATTGAATCGTACACATAGTAGAGTGTCATGCTTTGGGACATCGTCGCATACCACGGGTTTTGAGTCCTTAGGCTTCCTCAATGAAAATAAATTATGTCGGAAATGAAAACAAAAAATGTCGGAAATGAAATTAAAAAAATGTCGGAAATGATGATAGAGAGAATCGACGTGAATCACCCCTGGGTTACCGACGATGGCTTTGGGACTCATTAACTTGATGAAGGAGTGTGACGAAGACATCGTCATGTGTTGAAAATTGCCTTCCATATAAGGTAGTGGTCTCAACCTGTTAAATAGCTGCTTAATCACAGATTAACTGTTATACATAGCCCCAAAACTTTTAGATCTTTGATTGCAATTGAACAAAAGGAGAAACATTTTTAAAAGTGGGGTGAATTGTTTTCAGTCCATTTCAAAGTTGAAAACTAATACTGCCTCATTATGTTACTTTTTGTCTGCTTTCCATAAAACAGAAATTTACTCGGAAATAGCTAAATAAAGCTATATTATATAGGTAAATAAACCTATATAGGTAGATTTAGCTATATAGCTAAATATAGTGATTTTCCTAGACCTGTTGCTGACAATGAAATTTGGTTTACAAATTACCTGTTAATTTGAACTAGCGAAAAACCAGTGGATTATGCACCATATAAAGGAAAATACTTTTTTTATATAATTTTCTCTGTAAATTAAAAAATAAATTATTTGTGAATTATTTTGTGAGCCCTCTCCAATACATTCATAAGAAATCCTGCTAATAGTCTCACCTAGCTGCAGAACTGTAGCTCTCCAAAAAATATATATTGATAGACCGGAAAGCTACAGTGCCACCCATTGAAAAAACTGTATATTTTTTTGCGCACAAAAAAGTGCGCGGTTTTTCGACATTTCTCCATGTTTTTAAAACTCATTTCAAAATACTACGAACCGTGTGTTCTTAACATATTCTTTCACTGTTTCCACAACAAAACATTCCTTATAATTGTTTTTAATAGCCCTCCTGGTCCTGAAATTGAGATTATTGAAAATTTCACCTATTTATACTGCCATTTTGGTTTGCATGATAATTCGGTCCAACGCACTTCGTACAGAGGTGAACCACAACAGTAATTGATAGAGGAGTAAGGACTTTATTGAAACCTTACTTTTTTGCAATTGAGGTAAGAATTTGGAAGAATTAATACAGAAACAGCACACTTTTTGTGCACAATAAATATACAGTTTTTTCAATGGATGGCACTGTAGCTCTCTAGTCTATCAATATTTTGGAGAGCTACAGTTCTGCAGCTAAGTCTCACCTACAGTGCTAGATAGAATGTTCTATCCTTAAAATGATGGATCCGTTTAATGATGGCATTGAGGACTTGTCCTGAGACACAGATTATTCTAACTAGGCTAGCAATGGGTCAAAATTTTTGTATGACTGACAATCGGTATCAGTATAATATATGAAAATCATATTGAATGAGCTTCATGAATGTTCTATAATGCATAGTAGTAACATATACAGTGTGCTTTTATTTTGATTTTTTCAGCCTTGTTAGAGATTTCAAAACTCTTGAATACTGGTCTCGATGCCGAGACTTTAGCAACATGTGTTCGTCTGTGTGAGAATGGTGTGAACCCAGAAGCCTTAGTCCTGGTCATTCAAGAACTGCGTAGAGAAACAGCGGCTGTTAGAGTAAGTCAGATATACAGAGTTATCTCCCCTAATAATAAGGCTAAAATCAAACCATGGAGCATAACAGTATATTTTCTTTGCCATGGAAATCTCTCAATAACAAACAATTCCCAAAACAAGGCAAGCTAATGGCAAATAAGTTGATGTTACAAGGATGTAAAAGTCCCATTTCAAGTCAACATTTTGCATATTCTGTGGTTGATACAGTGACCTTGTTAGCAATGAGGTCTTTCATCAAGGCTAATGTTGACCGATTTTTTCATACGAATTGTAAGGCCATTATTTTTTTCACTGAATTGTCTACAGGTTTTTCTGTGTGCCTATATATGACAAGGAGCACAGAAGGTGTAAACAGTCAGCAGGAGTTGCTTATATCTCCGTTTTCCAAACAAACATATTTGTTTATAATCTATTTTGACAGGTGTGCCATAGCAGTGCTCTTTATTTACTTTTTAACAATAAGATTTCATTTTTGTGTTGTGTAACATATTTGTTTATATTTGATCTATTATTGGTTCACAGGTGTGCAACTTATAGTTCTGACTTCTCTGGTTAAAGGCCCTATTTGGGCCCTTGATGTTGTGTTTTAAATCCATCATTGTATTTACTTACAAAAAGAAAAACTTACAAATATGAAATTAATCTGTTAATGTGATAAGAAATTTCATTTTTGAAATAATTTCAGAGGGTAAACATACAGTTTTTGAAGGATAATTTCACCATGTTTTCTAAGTCAATCTAATTAAAATTAGATGTTAGATCCACTCA